TGCGAGACTTGCCAAAAAATCCCCCCAAAAATCCCAAATTCTGCCCCCCCCCCCCCCCCCCCCAGAAATGCTTTCATCCCGGTTTTCTCTTCCCTGGGGGCTGCAGAATCCCAGGATCAGGAAAATCCCAAAAATTCCAGGCCCCCAGCAGGGATTTCACCCCTAGCGACCCAAATCCTGCCCTGAGGGTGCAGGAATTCCCAAAAATCCCAAATTCCGCCCCCTAGCAGGGGTTTAAACCCCCATTTCCCTTTACCCGGGTGCTGCAGAATCCCAGGATCAGAGAAATCCCCAAAAAATCCAAGAAAATTCCCAAATTTCCGCCCCCCAGCAGCGCTTTCATCCCAGTTTTCTCTTCCCTGGGGGTTCTGGCATTCCAGGATCAGAGAAATCCAAAAAAATTCCGAAATTCCACCCCCCAGCAGGGATTTCACCCCCCGAGCTTTCCTTTCCCTGCGGGCTGCAGAATCCCAGGATCAGGATTTGGGATTCTGGGAATGGGGGAACTGCAGGGATTTGGGGGGAATTTTGGGGTGGGATCAAGGAGAACCAGGAATAGGGTCAGGAATGGGGTCAGGAATGGGGTCAGGAATGGGGTTGGGAAAAGTTGGAGCAGCTCCTGCGATTCTGGGAATGGGGGAACTGGAGGAATTTTGGGGGAATTCTGCGATGGGATCAGGGGAAAATGGGAGGATGGGACTGGGAATGGGGTCAGGAATGGGGTTGGGAATGGAGTCAGGAAAAGCTGGAGCAGCTCCAAGGATCCTGGGGATGGGGGAACACAGGGGATTTTGGGGGGAATTTTGGGGTGGGATCAAGGAGAACAGGAATGGGGTTGGGAATGGGATTGGGAATGGGGTCAGAAATGGGGTTGGGAATCCAAATGGGGTTGGAAGTGGGGCTGGGAATGGGGTTGGGAAGAGCTGGAGCAGCTCCCAGGATTTTGGGAATGGGGGAACTTGTGGGGATTTTGGGGTGCGATTTGGAATGAGGTCGGGAATAGGATTGGGAATAGGGTTGGAAATGGGGTTGGGAATAGGATTGGGGATGGGGTTGGAAATGGGGTTGGGAAAAGCTGGAGCAGCTCCCAGGATTCTGGGAATGGGGGAACCAGAAGAATTTTGGGGGAATTTTGGGGTGGGATCGAGGACAACAGGAACAGGATTGGGAATGGAGCTGGGAATGGGAATGGGGTCAGGAATGGGGTTGGGAAGAGCTGGAGCAGTTCCCAGCTCTCCTGGGATTTTGGGAATGGGGGAACCACGGAGATTTTGGGGTGGGCTCAGGAATAGGGTTGGGAAAAAGCTCCTCAATCCCTTGGGATGGTCCTGGAATCTCTTGGGAGTCTCTGGGATGTTTGTGGGGTTTGGAGAGCTCTGGGACTGCTTTTCCAGAGGCTTTTCCCAAAAAAAAAACCTGGGAGAGGCTTTGGCGGTTGAGGAGCTCCTTCCCTGTGTTCCCATCGCGTTTTTGGGATCATTTTGGGGTTGGATCGCTGAGTTCGGGGTCTCCTGGAGGGTGCTGGGGTGGGATCTGATCCTAAATCCACTTTTGAGATTTGCAGGGATTGGGAATGGGAATTCAGGGCAATCCTGATGATCCCAACCCCTGGCCCAAGAATTCCCCAGAAAACCCTGGAATGAAATTTGGATAATTTTGATTAAAAACTGGATTGGGTTCAGGGAATTCCCTCCTGGATCCTTTTCCATTCCTGGTTTTATTCTGGAAATTCCCACCTGAATCGTTCTCCTCTTCCCAGTTTTATTCCAGGAGTTGGGAATTTTCTCCTGGATCCTCTTTTCCCATTCCCAGTTTTATTCTGGACCCCCTTTTGCCTTCCTGGTTTAATTCCAGGAATCTAGGAATTCCCTCCTGGATCCCCTTTTCCCTTCCCAGTTTTATTTCAGGAATCTAGGAATTCCCTCAAGGGTCCATTTTCCATTCCCACTTTTATTATGGGATTTCCCTCCTGGATCCCATTCCTGGTTTTACTTTGGGATCTGGGAATTCCCTCCTGGATCATTGTCTCGTTCCCAGTTTTATTCCAGAATCTGGGAATTCCTTCCAGGACCCCTCTCCCATTCCCAGTTTTATTCTGGATCCCCTTTTCCCCCTCTGGTTTAATTCCAGGATCTGGGAATTCCCTCCTGAATCCTTTTTCCCTTCCCGGTTTTATTCTGGGAATTCTCTCCTGGACCCCTCTCCCATTCCTGGTTTTATTCTGGATCCCCTTTTCCCACTCCCACTTCCATTCTGGGATCTGGGATTTCCCTCCTGGATCCTTTTCCCCTTCCCCGTTTCATTCTGGACATTCCCTCCCGGATCCCATTCCCGGTTTTCTCCCGGATCCCGAAGTTCCCGGGAGCCGGAGGTGGGGGATGGGCCGGAGTTTCATGGAGCGCTCCAAGGTCGCGGGAGGAGCGGCGGGATCGGATTCCAAGGAAAACGGGAGCGGATTCCAAGGAAAACGCGGGAGCTGGGAAGGGCCCGGCCGAGAATGCGGATCCCGCTGGGGTTTCGGCATTCCCACCTATTTTTTTGGGATTTAGGGAGTTAAGAAGGAGCTGAGGGATCCAATTCTATGGGAGGACAATTCCCAGGGTGCGCCAGAGGTGGAAAATCAGGGAAATTTTGGAATGAGCCCTTCCAGAAAATCGGGAATGAGCCCTTCCCTAAAAAACAGGAATGAGCCTGTCTGAAAAATCGGGAATGAGCTGTTCCTTGTGTCCTGGGAGGCTGAAAAAATCGGGAACTCTCAAACCCCATTCCCAAATCTCAAATCCTAAAGCCCATTCCCCAAATCCCAAACTCCATTCCCAAATCCCAAATCCCAAACCCCATTCCCAAAATCTCAAACCCCATTCCCAAATCCTATTTCCAAACCCCGTTCCCAAATCCCAAATCCCAAACCCAAATCCCAATTCCCAAACCCATTCCCAAATCCCAAACTCCATTCCCAATTCCCAAAGCCCATTCCCAGCTCCCAAACCCAGGATGGGATCTGGGATTGCTGCAATCCCAAACTGGGATTGGGGATTTGTGGGATCCCAAATTGGGATTTGGGATGGGTTTGAGGATGGGCCTTGGGATGGGGTTTGGGGTTTGGGATATGGAATTTGGGAATGGAGTTTGGGATTTTGGGAATGGAGTTTGGGATGGGATTTGGGATTGCTGGGATCCCAAACTGGGATTTGGGATCACCCTGACAAGGACTATGGAGGGGCAGTTTCTGATTCCTGGTGGAATTTTTGGGAAAGGAGGCACAAATCCCAAATTTTCCATCCTGGCATGGGGGAAATTCCAGGAAAAGCTGCTGGGGACAGGGGGTGACAGTCAGTGACAGTCGGTGACAGTCGGTGACAGTGCCACTGCTCGGGGGCAGCTGTGGGGATCTCTTGGATCTGTCCCAATCCCAATCCTCATCCCAATCTCAATCCCGATCCTGAGGGAATTCCAGCACTGGAGCAGAGCCAGCCCCGGCTGTCTCCTCCCAGCCCTGGGGACATCGGAGACATCCTGGAGCTGCTGCCACTCTCCCTTGGGGACACTGGGGACATCCCCGAGCAGTGTCCCCAAATCCTGGAATGTCCCCAAGGCTGCTCCCACTGACCCCTCACAGCCCTGGGGACATCAGGAACTGCTCCCGGGGTGTCCCCAAGCCCCGGGGTGTCCCTGCCGCTCTCCCATGGGGACACTGGGGACACCCTGGCCTATCCCTGGGTGTCTCGGGGTGTCCCCAGGGCTGTCCCCGGGGCTGCTCCCTCTGTCCCTTGGGGACACTGGGGAGGGACATCCCCGAGATGCTCCCGGCATGTCCCCAAGTTCTGGAATGTGCGCAGTGTCCCCAGGGCTGTCCCTGGGGCGGCTCTCGCTGTCCCTTGGGGACATCGGGGCCATCCCAGAGCTGCTCCCGCGGTGTCCCCAAGACCTGGGATGTCCCCAAGCCCTCAGGGGTCATTTGGGGACATTTTTGGGGTTGTCCCGGCGCCAAACTGATCCGGAATTCCCGGGATGGCGCTGGGGACAGTCCCGGGGCTCGCGATGTCGCCGCTGGTGGCACTTTGGGGACAGCGCCGCGGCCCCTCCCCCCCGCGACCTTCGCGCCGCTTTTCCAGCTCCGAGAATTCCCAAAAAACCCAAACAAAGGCGGGATCGGCTCCGGAGCCTCGGCATCGGCCCTGGGAGCGGCTCCGGCTGCAGGATCAGCTGGGAATTGTGATCAGAGCCGCTTTTCCCGGCTTTCTTCCCACTTTTTCCAGAATTTTCCCCGTCTCTTCCCCACTTTTCCAGCCCTCATCCCAATTTTCCAGGCGTTTTCACCACTTTTCACAGCACTCTTCCTCTTGTCCCAGCGTTTTTCCCACTTCTCCGCTCCCTATCCCACTTTTTCCCACTTTTCCTGGCGTTTTTCCCACTTCTCTCATAATTTTCCAGGAGTTTTCCCCTCTTTTCACCACGTTTTCCCCTCTTTCCCCAGCATTTTTCCCCATTTTTGCAGCGTCTTTCCCACTTTTCCCGCCCCCTCTTTTCCCAGCATTTTTCCCCTCTTTTCCTGGCTTTCCCCCCACTTTTCCTGGTGTTTCCCCCATTTTTCCAGTCTCCTCCCACCTTTCCAGTCCTCATCCTGCTTTTCCAGCCCCCATTCTTCTTTTCCTGTCATTTTTTCCACTTTCCTGGCATTTTCCCACTTTCCTGGCGTTTTCCCACTTTCCCATATTTTTCCCAGTTTCCCAGTGTTTTTCTCAGCTTTTTTTTCCCCACTTTCCCGGGTTTTTTCCCACTTTACTGGGGTTTTTCCCATATTCCCTTTATTTTTCCCACTTTTCCATTATTTTTCCCACTTTCCTGTTATTTTTCCCACTTTCCCAGGGTTTTCCTCACTTTCCCGTTATTTTTCCCACTTTCCCGGGGTTTTTCCCACTTTCCCAGGGTTTTTCCCACTTTCTCGGGGTTTTTCCTGCTTTTCCAGCTGTGGGGATCCCTGTGGGGGAGGGGTGGCCATGGCCCCCAACGGCTCTGTGGGATTTCGGGATTCCCCGCTGGAGCCGGGAATTTTCCTGGATGAGGATTTGGGATCCGACTGGTACATTTATGAATCCACGGAGTCTGCACCCCACGATGAGTGAGTGCCCCTAAAATGTCCCTAAGTTTCCCCAAAAATGTCCCAAATAATGTCCCCAAAATGTCCTCAAAAGGTCTCCAAAATGTTCCCCAAAATGTCCCCAAAAGTGGCCCCAAAAAATTCCCAAAAATTACCCTAAATGGCCTCAAAATGGCCCTAAAAGTGATCCCAAAATGTTCCCAAAATTGGCCCCAAAGTGTTCCCAGAATATCCCTAAAATATCCCCAAAATGTCCCAAAAATATTCCCAAAATATCCTCAAAAATGTCCCCAAAATTTTCCCAAAAATGTCCTCAAACCATCCCCAAAATTGGCCCCAAAATGTCCCTAAAATATCCCCAAAATGTCCCTAAAATATTCCCAAAATTGTCCCCAAAATGTCCCCAAAATATCCCCAAAAGTGTCCTGGAGTGTCCCCTTCCCATGGAGCAAATCCCTGAGTTTTGGACCCTCTAAAAATCCTGGAACTTTTGGTCATTCCCAGATTTATTCCTGGATTTTTGGCCCAGAAATTTGTGGGGCCGTCCCTGTCACTCCCAGATTTATTCCCATCGGGAATAAAAATCTGGGATTTTTCCCATTTTTCCCAGCCCTTTTAGGGTCAAACTCACCAAATCTGGGATTTTTCCATTTTTCCAGCCTTTTTCCCGACGCCATCCCGGAATGCCACCCCACAATCTCCCCCCAGCTGTACCACACCGTCATGGCTCCCATTTCCGTGAGTATCCGCCCCAAAATCCCCATCCCCGCCCCAAAATTCCCGAAAAACCCCAATCCCACATCCCCATGTTCCATTCCCATTCATCTTGTATGGATTTTCCCACCTAAACCATTCCGGAATTCCTGGATTTGGGGGATTTCACTTCCCTGTGGGACAAGAACTCCAAAATTCCTCCCAAATCATTCCCAGAACCCTTTTCCATGGATTTATAGGATCTCAATGGGATTCCCATCATTCCCACCATTCCCTGGACACTTTTCCATGGATTTATGGGATTTCCATGGGGTTCCCATCATTCCCGGGTCTCTTTCCCATGGAAATGGGGTCTCCATGGGATTCCCATCATTCCCAGAACCCTTTTCCATGGATCTATGAGGTCTCCATGAGGATCCCATCATTCCCATCATTCCCAGGTCTCTTTTCCATAGATTTATGGGGTTTCTATGGGGTTCCCATCATTCCCATCATTGCCAGGACTCTTTTCCATGGATTTATGGGGTCTCCATGGGGTTCCCAGCACTCCAGGACCCTTTTCCATGGATTTCCCTCCCGTTGCAGCTGGCCGTGCTCCTGGCCTTGTCCTTCCTGGTCAAGCGCCGCCGGCTCCACCTGAGCTGCTGGAATGGCGTCCCGGGATTGCTCAGGTATGGAATTCCCAAAATCCCGCTGATCCTTCCCTGGGAAGGGCTCGGAATTCCCAAAATCCCCTCCATGGAAATGACTCAGAATTCCAGAATCCCATCCCTGCAAAGGGCTCAGAATTCCCGAAATCCCTTACTGTAGAGGACTTGGAATTACCAAAATTCCTTCCTGAAAAGGACTTGGAATTCCCAAACCCTGCTGATCCTTCCTTAGAAAGGGCTCAGAATTCCCAAAATGCCCTCCATGGAAAGGGATCAGAATTCCCAAACCCAGTTGATCCCTTCCCTAGAGAAGACCTGGAATTCCCAAAGTCCCTCCCCGGGAAGGAGTGAGAATTCCCAAAATCCCTCCCTGGAACAGGGCGGGAATCCCCAAAATCCCGTTCCTGCAAAGGGCTCAGAATTTCCAAAATGCCCTTCCTGGAAAGGACTAGTAATTCCCAAAATCCCCTCCCTGGGAATTCCCAAAATCCCTCCCTGGCAAGGAGCGGGAATTCCCAAAGTCTCTTCCTGGGAAGGAGTGGAATTCCCGCAGTCTCCCCCTGGGAAGGGCTCAGAATTCCCACAGTCCCTCCCTGGGAAGGAGCAGGAATTCCCAAAGTCCCCTCCCTGGAAAGACCTCAGAATTCCTGCAGTCCCTCCCTGGAAAGACCTAAGAAATCTGAAAATCCCATCCTTGGGGAGGACCCTGAATTCCCAAAATCCCTCCCTGGGAAGGGCTCAGAATTCACAAAGTTCCTCCCTGGGAAGGGCTCAGAATTCCCGCAGTCTCTCCCTGGGAACGAGCGGAAATTCCCAGAGTCCCTCCCTGGGAAGGGCTTGGAATTCCTGCAGCCCCTCCCTGGAAGGAGCAGGAATTCCCGCAGTCCGTCCCTGGTCATTCCCGACCGTTGCAGCCCCGGGAATCTGCTGGAGCAGGACGGGCATCGCGCCGTGGCCGCGGCGGTGCTGGCGCTGCTCTGCTCCGAGCTCTGCCGGCTGCTGCTGGACCCCGACCCGCTGCCACTGCTGCCACCGACGGCGGGGACACCCACGGGGACACCCACGGGGACACCCACGGGGACACCGACGGCGTCACCCGCCACACGCGGTGAGGCACGGAGCGCCACATCCCAGCCTGGGGAGGGCTCGGAGTCCCCAAATCCCCACCCAGAAAGGGTTTGGAATACCCAATCCCATCTCTGGGAAGGGCTCGGAATGCCCAAAATCCCCACCTGAGGAGGGCTCGGAGTTCCCAAATTCCATCCTGGGAAGGGCTCGGAGTTCCCAAATCCCCACTCTGGGAAGGGCTCAGAGTTCCCAAATCCCCACCCCACAAAGTGCTCAGAGTTCCCAAAATCCCCACTCTGGGAAGGGCTTGGAGTGCCCAAATCCCCACCCCACAAAGGGCTCAGAGTTCCCAGATCCCCATCTGGAAAGGGCTCAGAATTCCCAAATCCCCACCCCACAAAGGGCTCGGAGTTCCCAAAATCTCCACTCTGGGAAGGGCTTGGACTTCCCAAATCCCATTCTGGGAAGGGCTCAGAATTCCAAAATGGCACCCCTGGAACACCCCAAATCTCTCCATGGAAAGGGCTCAGAGTTCCCAAATCCCCATCCCTGGGAAGGGCTGGCTGGGCTGGTGGCAGTGACCCCTTGTCCCCAGGGTGGTGGCATTGACCCCAGGGTGGTGCCAGTGACCTTGTGTCCCTGGGGCAGTGGCACTGACTCCAGGGTAGTGGCAGTGTCCCAGGGTGGTGGCAGTGACCTCTGGAGTAGTGGCAGTGACCCCAGGGCGGTGGCATTGACCACAGGGTGGTGGCAGTGTCCCCAGGTCGGTGGACATGTCCCCAGGGTGGTGGCAGTGATTCAATGTCCCCAGGGTGGTGGCAGTGTCCCCTGGGGGGGTGGCATTGACCCCGGGGTGGTGGCAATGACCTCTGGGGTTGTGGCAGTGTCCCTGGGGTGGTGGCAGTGACCCTGTGTCCCTCGGGTGGTGGCAGTGTCCCCTGGGAGGGTGGCAGTGTCCCCAGAGTGGTAGCAGTGATGCAGTATCTGTCGGGGGGTATCCGTGTCCCCAGGGTGGTGGCAGTGACTTGGTATCCCTGGGGTGGTGGCATTGACCCCAGGGCAGTGGCAGTGCCCCAGGGCAGTGTGTCACCCCCCGGTACCGTGGGTGTCCCCGCTGACACCGCGGTGTCACCGTGCAGAGTTCTGGAAGGTTCTGGCCCTGCTCTATTTCCCGGCGCTGTACCTGCCCCTGCTGGCCTGCGCCGGCCCCCGGCACCGCCTGGGCTACGCCGCGGGGACCCTGCTGGCCTGGGGACACTGCGGGGCGCAGGCCTGGCACCGCGCGCAGTGTCCCCTGGCACCCAAGGTGGGTGGCATCGAGGTGGCGTGGCTTCCTGGGGTGGCTCTGAGGGGTCTTGGCTCCCTTGTCACCTCCTTGAGTGACCTGAGGTGGCATGGCTTGCTGGAGTGGCCCTGAAGTGCTATGGCTTCCTTGTCACCTCCTGGGGTGGCCCCGAGGGGTTGTGGCTCCCTTGTCACCTCCTTGAGTGGCCCTGAGGTGGCACAGCTTGCTGTGGTGGCACTGAGGAGTTGTGGCTCCCTTGTCACCACCCTGAGTGGCCCCAAGGCCGGGAAAAGGACAGGGAGGTGGCCCAAGGTGGAGGTGGCTCCCTGGAGTGTCCCTGAGGTGCTGTGGCTCCCTGGCCAGCCCCCAGTGTGTCCCTGCAGTGTCCCCTGGCTGCTGGCAGTGACCCTCCGTCCGTGTCCCCAGGGTGGTGGCAGTGATGTGGTGTCCCTGGGGGTGGTGGCGGTGTCCCCTGTGTCAGTGTCCCCAGGGTGGTGGCAGTGTTCCTGGGGTGGTGGCCATGCTGCGGTGTCCCCAAGGTGGTGGCAGTGTCCTCTGTGTCAGTGTCCCCAGAGTGGTGGCAGTGTCCCTGGGGCAGTGGTGGCGTTCCCAGGCAGTGGCAGTGACCCCGGGCGTTGACAGTGACCCCATGTCCCCAGGGGTGGTGGCAGTGACCCCGGGGGATGGTGGCAGTGACCCAGCGTCCCCAGGGTGGTGGCAGTGTCCCCAGGGTGGTGGCAGTGACCCCGGGGGATGGTGGCAGTGACCCAGCGTCCCCAGGGTGGTGGCAGTGACCCCGTGTCCCCGCGCAGATCCACCGGCTGTACTCGCTGCTGTCCCACGTCCCTGCGCTGCTGTCCCTGTCCCTGCTCAGCCTCTGGTACCCGGCACAGCTCCTGCGCAGCCTCCGGAACAGGGACAGCCCTGAGCCATGGGTACGGACACGGGAACTCGGGATCGGGATCGAGATCGGGATCAGGATTGGGATCGGGATCAAGACTGGGATTGAGATTGGGATCGGGATCAAGATTGGGATCAGGACCAGAACTGGGACCAGGATCAGGATCAGGATTGGGATCAGGACCAGAACTGGGACCAGGATCGGGATTGGGATCAGGATCAGGATTGAGAGCCTGATTGGGATCGTGGTCGGGATCAGGATCACGATTGGTATTGAACCTGATTGGAATTGGATCGGGATTGGGATCAGGACTGGGATCTCCATGTATTGCCCTCCCAGCTCTGCTGCTGGGGGTTCTCCGTTGCTCTCCTGGGATTGGTTTTGGGATTGGAATTGGGATTGGGATCTCCACATGTTCCCTTGCCCTGCTGGGGGTTCTCCATTGCTGTCCCAGCACCGGCAGCGGGGTCGGGAAATTCCTCGGGATAAATCCCTTACACAAGAGGCTCCCGCCATCAATGGCTCCGTTCAGGCCGGCTCCGGGCTCTCTCTTTTTCCCGGATAATCCCCGGAGCTCAGAGCTCGGAGCTTTGTTGGGGAGAGAGGAGGGAAAAGCAGGAAAGGCCTGAGGTGACCCCTCATGGGGGAATGAGGGATCCCACAGGGGTTTGGGAACAAAATCCCACTTTATTCCCACTTTTCTGTACCAACACCGCACATCCTGTATGCTGGCCCGGGCTCGGGAATTCCTGTAGGGATATGCCCGGGATGAGGGTGTGGCCAGGGCAGCTCTGCCACCCCAAATCCATCCGTTATCCCCAGATTTCCGGGAAAAGCTATTACAGGAAGTACCTCAAGGCCCTGCTGTCCAAGCGGGACCGGAAAGGGAGGTAAGGATGGAAATTCCCATTGCCGACAAATCCCATTGCCAGCAATTCCCATTCCCAAGGCGGGGAATGTCACCCTCTCCCACCTTCTGCAGCTCCGTCAAGATTGATGAGAGCCTCGGCTCCCGGATCCGCTCCTACCTGCTCTCCTACATCTACATTCCCGAGGAAGGTGAGCACCTGGAAAATTCCATGGAATCTGGGAATGGTTGGGGTTGGGATTTATGGATCAGTCAGGCCATTCCCAAAATCCTGGGTTGCTCCAAGCCCTGTCCAACCTGGCCTGGCTTGGAGCCTGAATCCAGCTGTGCTTGGGGTAGGGATCCACAAATCCATGGAAAAGGGGTCCTGGGAGTGATGGGAATCCCAAGGAGGCCCCATAAATTCATGGAATTATGGGAAACCCAGGGAGGCCCCATAAATCCATGGAAAAGAGACTGGAATGATGGGAACCCCATGTAGGCCCCATCTCCATGGAAAAGGGTTCCTGGGAAAGATGGGTTCTTCATGGAGGCCCCATAAATCCATGGTAGTGATGGGATTCTCATGGAGAACCCATAAATCCATGGAAAAGTGGTCCTGGGAGTGATGGAATCCTCATGGAAGCCCCATAAATCCACGGAAGGGAATTGTCCTGCACAGAGGGGGTGAAATCCTGGGAATGCAGAGCCATTCCCATCCATGAAGGGGGCAGGAAATATCCCAAGTTTCCATGGAAAAGCAGGATGGACCCATCCATCCATTCCCGACTCTCCATCCCAGCAGGAATTCCCTGTGGAAATCCCATTCCAAAAGGTGTTCCCTTTGCACCCTCATCCTGCTCCACCACCCCAAATTCCCAATTTTCCCTCCAGGATTCCGGATCCCGCTGAAGTTGGTGGTATCCGTCACTGTGGCCGTCATCGCCGTCTACCAGGTGACATTCCCAGAGGATCCTGGGGGATCCCACCCAGGAATGGCATTAAAATTCCTTCTGGAATTCCGCACTCACGTAAATCCAAAAATCCTGTAGAATCCCAGCTGTAAATCCCTAAATCCCAGAATTCTGTGGGATCCCAGCCATAAATCCCTAAATCCCATGGGATCCCAGCTGTAAATCCCAAAATCCCATGTGATTTGAGCTGTAAATCCTGTGAGATCCCAGCTGTAAATCCTGAAATCCTGTGGGATCTGAGCATTAAATCCCAAAATCCCACAGGATGCAAGCTGTAAATCCCAAAATCCCACATGATTTGAGCCATATATCCCACAGGATCCAAGCCGTAAATTCCAAAATTCTTTGGGATCCAAGCCTTAAATCCCATGGGATCTGAGCCATAAATCCTGAAATCCTGTGAGGTCCGAGCCTTAAATCCCAAAATCCCATGGGAATTGACCTGTAAATCCCACAGAATCCGAGCCATAAATACCAAAATCCTGTGGGATCTGAGCCTTAGATCCCGTGGGATCTGAGCCGTAAATCCTGAAATCCCGCGGGATCTGAGTCATAAATCCTGAAATTTAACGGGATTTGAGCCAGAAATCCCGCGGGATCCGGGCCGGAGCTGAGGTGTCCCCGTGTCCCGCAGATGGCCGTGCTGCTGCTGGTGGCCGTGGTGCCCGCGCTGCGCATTGTCCGGGCGGGAATGACCAAGGACGTGGTGGTGCTGCTGGTGCAGTTCGGGCTGGTGCCCTCGCAGGGCGCGGCCGTGCCCGGGGACCTGGAGCAGGAGCTGCGCACGGCACGGCACTTCCTGTGGGCGCTGGAAGGTGGAGCCGCATCCCGACCCTAACCCCGATCCAGATCCTAATCCTGGTCCCGACCCCAATCCTGATCAGGATCAGGATCATGATCACAATCCCAGTCCCAATCCAGATCACGATCCCAATCCCAATCCTGATCTCAGTCCCAATCCAGATCCCGATCCGGATTCCTATCCCAATCCGGATCTCAATCCTGATCCCAATGCAGATCCCGATCCAGATCCCAATCCCAATCATGATCACAATCACGATCCCAGTCCCGATCCCAATCCCAGGCCCAATCCCAATCCCAATCTGGATTCCGATCCCAATCCCGACCCTGATCCCGATCCCAGCTGAATCAATGCTCCAGAGGGGATTCCAGAGGGATTTCCTGAGGGTTCCTCCCCTGGAGGATGGGATGGGGTGGATTCCAGGGGGTGAATTCCAGGGGGATTTGGGGAGGATTCCTCGCCTGGAGGATGAGATTGAGTGGATTCCAGAGGGATTTCCAGAAGATTCCTTGCCTGGAGGATGGGACTGGGAGGATTCCAGGGGCATTTCCAGAGGATTCCTGGCCCAGAGAATGGGATGGGGCAGATTCCAGAAGGATTTCCAGAAGATTCCCTGCCCAGAGGATGGGACAGGGAGGAGTCCAGAGGGATTGCGGAGGATTCCCTGCCTGGAGTATGGGATGGGGCAAATTCCAGGGGATTTTGGGAGGATTCCTCACCTGTAGGATGGGATGAGGTGGATTCCAGGGGGATTTTGGGAGGATGGGATGTGGAGGATTCCCGGGGGGGTGTGGGGAAGATTCCTGGCCCAGGGGATGGGATTGGGCCAAATCCAGGGGGATTTGGGGAGTGGATGGCAGGGATTGGGCGGATTCCAGCGGGATTTCGGGAGCAGCTGGCAGGGATGGGACTGTGCCAGGCTGGCGCGTGCCAAGGCGGGAAGAGACTCTGGGAAAAGCCGTTGGGAAGAGCCAGAGGGAAGAGCTGGCGGCAGATGCTCCAGGCTTGGAAATGTGCTGGAAGTTAACAGATGGGCCTGGATCCCTGGAGAGTGGAAATCCTTGGATGGGGGATGAGGGAAGAGCAGGGAAGAAGGAAGAAAAGGGATCAGGGAATTCCAGGGATCGGGGAATTTCAGGGATCAAGGAATTCTAGGGATCAGAGAGTAGCAGGGATGAGGGAATTTCAGTGATCAGGGAATTTCAGTGATCAGGGAATTTCAGGGATGAGGGAATAGGGATGAAGGGATAGCAGAGCTGAGGGAATTCCAAGGATGATAGAATTCCCAGGATAAAGGAATTTTGGGAATCAGGGAATTTCAGGGATAAAGAAAGAGCAGGGATACCCTGCTCCTTCCTTGGGATCCCACCAGCTCCAGGCAGGATTTTTGGGGTTTTTCCTGGATCCCCAAACCTCTCTCATCCCATTTTTTCCCTCTCCCCTCTTTCCCACAGATCCTCTTTCCCAAGACCCCCATCCCAGCTCGCTCCAGGGATTTTCCTGGATTTCCCTTCCCCTTTTCCCTCGCTCTGTCCTGTCCATCCCCCCTTGGGAGCTGAAGGTGGGAGTGACAATGGGGGAAACTGAGGCACAATGTGAATCCCAATGTTTCTGTTCCCATCCCCATGGCGCAATTCCCAGCAAAATCCTGCTCCCGGAATTATTCCCAATCCCAAATGCAGGATTTTTTCCCGTTTTTCCGCAGTGTGCTACATCTGCTCACTGGTGCTGTGCTGCCTGCTCACCTGCGCCATGCTGCTCCGGAGCCTGGGCATGCACAGGTGGGGCTGGCCCCGCTCCTGGCATTCCCTTTCCCAATATTCCCATTCCCAATATCCCCATTCCTGATATTCCATTCCCAGTATTTCTATTCCTGATATCCCCAGTCCCATTCCTGATACCCCCACTCCCATTCTCAATATTCCCTTTCCTGATGTTCCCATGCCCATTCCCGATGTCCCCACGCCCATTCCCAAAGTCCCTGACCCTGTTCCAAATATTCCCATCATCATTCCCAATGTTCCCATTCCTGATACCCCCATCCCCATTCCCAACATCCCTGGCCCCATTCCCAGTGTTCCCAACCCCTTTCCCTATGTTCCTATTCCTGATATCCCCATTCCCGATGTCCCCACCTCCATTCCTAATGCTGCCATTCCTGATGTCCCTGTCCCCATTCCTGATACCCCCATCCTCATTCCCAATGTCCCTGGCCCCATTCTGTGTTCCCAACCCCATTCCCAATGTTCCTATATCCGATATCCCCATTCGCAATGTCCCCACCCCCATTCCTGATGTCCCTGCCCCCATTCCCGATATCCCTGTCCCCATTCCCGGGCCGGGATCAATCGGGATCATTTTCCCTCCAGGTCCAATCTGCGGGCGCTGTACCAGGGCGCTGTGCTGGACGTGTTTTCCAAGGCCCACATCCTGAGGCCTTCCCGAGAATCCCTCGTCTGCTGGATGGCCTTCTCCAGCTTCCAGGCGGCCTTCGCCTGCCTGGGTAATGGGCTTTTGGGATCATGGCATGGAGATCCTGATTTTCCTAAAGATTAAGCAGCAATTCCCCATTTTTGCCCCTTTTCCAAGAGGGTTTTTAGCCCCCTTTCCTTAAATAGAATCTGGCGGGTTTTGGGAGCATGGGATGATTGAGAATTGGGAAAAACTGGAAAAATAATGGGAATAATTGGGTTGGGAATTCAAAGAGGAGGAAGGAGTGAAATGATGTCTAGGTAATGGGATTTTGGGATCACAGCATGGAGATCCCAATTTTATTAAGGATTAAGCAGCAATTCCCTGTTTTTGCCCCTTTTCCAAGAGGGTTTTTAACCCCCTTTCCTTAAATGGAATGTGGAGGGTTTTGGGAGCATCAGATGGTTGGGAATTGGGAAAAACTGGAAAAATAATTGGGAAAACTGCAAAAAAACATCAGAAAAATTGGGGTGAGAATTCAAAGAGAAGGAAGGGGAGGGATGATATCTGGGTAATGGGATTTTGGGATCACAACATGGGGATCCCAATTTTCTTAAGGATTAAGCAGCAGTTCCCAGAAGGGTTTTTAGCTCCCTTTCGTCAAACAGAATCTGGTGGGTTTTGGGAACACCAGATGGTTGGGAATCAGGAAAAACTAGAAAAATACTTGGAAAAATTAAGTTGGGAATTCAAAGAGGAGGAAGAGGCTGGAAGATGCCTGGGTTTGGCTCAATCCCAAATATTTGGGTGGGAAAAGCTGTGGAAGCCTCTTGTCCTCGGTGCATTCTGGGGGCTCCCCGTCCCCATCCCAGCCTGGATCATCCTGGGAATGGGGAGTGGGATCCCAAAAAGAGGGAAAATCTTCATTCCACCCCCAGGAATTATGGGGACAACCCCTTGGGAATGCAGACCTGATTTTGGGGACTGGTGGGGTTTTTATTGGATTGTCGGGAAAGCCCCGTGCAGGGATCTGGGGAATGAGAGCTGGTTTTCCATCCTGGATTCCTGCTCCATGTTCCCATTCCAGGTCTCCTGATCCAGCAGGTGATTTTCTTCCTCTGCTTCGTGGCCTTCACCTTCCTGGTGGTGATCCCACTCCAGCTTGGCATCAGCTCCCCGCTCTTTGGGATCATCCGGAACATGTGGTGAGCTGGGAAGGGTTGGAAACCCCAAGGAATGGCCCAGGATGGGTTTGGGATGCTCCATGTGGGGTTTTTCCAACCCCACTGGGGGTTTCTGCTGCCTGGGGTGGTGCCTTGGGACATTCCCAGTACCTTGGGACATTCCCGGTGCCTTAGGACATTCCCAGTGTTTTGGGACACTCCTGGTGTCCATCCTGCACTTTGGGATGATCCAGAACATGTGGTGAGCTGGGAAGGGCCGGAAACCCCAAGGAATGGTCCTGGATGGGTTTGGGATGCTCCATGTAGGGTTTTCCCAACACCACTGGAAGCTTCTGCCCGTGACGGTGTTTTGGGACATTCCTGGTATTTTGGGACTTTCCTGTTGATTTGGGGCATTCCCGGTGTTTTGGGACATTCCCGGTGTCCATCCTTCTCTTCAGGATGATCCAAAACATGTGGTGATCCCTTGGGAAGGGTGGAAAACCCCAAGGAATGGTCCTGGATAGGTTTGGGATGCTCCATGTGGGGTTTTTCCAACACCACTGGGGGTTCCTGCCCGTGGCGGTGTTTTGGGACATTCCCAGTGTTTTGGGGCATTCCTGGTGTTTTGGGACATTCCCAGTGTCCATCCCGCCCTTCCAGGCCCTTCTGGCTGACCCTGGTGGTGGCCGTGCTTGTGCAGCATCTCCTGGCCCATTTCCAGTTCTTGGAGCAGCATTCCCTGCAGAAGGAGATCACCAACAGGTACAGGGACACTGCCATCGTCCCCCATCGTCCCCAGTTGTCCCTGATTGTCCCTAGGGAGGTTGGCAGGAATTCCAGGTCCCCACTGAGGTTTTTCCAGGTGTTCCGGCCTGGATTTTGGTGGGGTGACACCAGTGAGGGTGGCCCTGCTCCACGGGCCCCGTTTCCAAGCCCAGATCACTGAGGATTGGCCGAGTGGGGTTGGTCACCACTGGCAGGTGTCCTCCACTCAGGGATGGCATCACCACCGGTGACCAAGGTGACAGAGGGACACAAGTGTCCCATGCCACCCCCTGACAGGGCAGAGATGTCCTCCTGGTGTCCATCCCAAACCAGCAGGTGTTGTCCCTCACTCCTACATGTTGTCACCACCCAAGACCGGGGTGGCAGAGGGACCCAGGTGTCCTCCTGGCAGGTCAGTGAGGCTCTCCTGGAGTCCATCCCAGGCCACCAGCAGATGTCCCTCACTCCCATGTGGTGTCACCATCAGAGACTGGGGTGACAGGGGGACCCAGGTGTCCTCTTGGCAGGTCAGCGAGGCTCTTCTGGAGCTGGTGGCCTCCATCCCAAAATCCCATCCCTGCATTTTGGCCGGTTCCTCACTCTCCAAGGAGACAAGGAGCTCCTGACGGTTCCCCAGGAGCCTGGGAGGGCGTTGGCTTCTCCCAGTGGGATGGGCTGGATGTGAGTGGGGCTGGGAGGTTTGGGGTGGCCGGAGTTCTCCTGGAAGGGCCATCCCGGGGCTCTGTGTGTCCTGCAGGCGCGCGCTGTACATCGTCACCTTCCTGCTCTTCCCCACCAACATTATGGTGGGCTCCATGGCCGCGGTGTGGCGCGTGGTCATCTCCGGCCTCTACAACGCCGTCCACTTCTGCCGGCTGGACATCAGCCTGCTGCATCGTGGTGTGGAGACCTTCGACCCAGGTGGGGCAGCAAGACGTCACCGTGCCACCAGCACGGTCCTTGTCCCACCACAGGGGGTTGGGATGGGGGCCCGGAGCTGCTGGGATTGAGGGTGGCCCCAAACGTTGGGAGTGGGACACCTGGAGCAGGTGGCTTCTCCTGATTCCTGTTTTTTATCCCAAAAAAATGAGTGGTGACCTTGGAGCTTCACCAGTGGTCACCTCGTGTCCTGGGAAAAAGAAGAAGAGACCTCCACATTTTTCCTGTGGGATTGAGGGTGGCTTGGAAATGGGATGATAGCAGCAGGTGGCTTCTCCTGATTCCTGCTTGGTCCTGCTCTTTGATCCCAAGAAATGGGAGATGACCTTTGGGGTTCCACCAGTGGTTACCTCATGTCTTGGGATAAAGGAGGGGGGACCTCAGGGGACCTCGGGCCTTCCTCTGATTTTCCTACTGGGATTGACGGTGGCTTCAGAGCATTGGGAATGGAACACCTGGAGCAGGTGGTGCCAGCTGGGTCCTGCTATTTGTGTCCCAAAAAATGGGATGAGCTGTGGGGTTTCCCCTCATCTCCTGGGATAAAGGAGAGGAGACCTCAGGGGAGCTCAGGGGAGCTCAGGCTGGCCCCTGCTTTTCCTGCTGGGATTGTGGAGCATGGAGACCAGAGCTGGATCCATCCCTGGGCCCCGGGTGGGAATGGGTAGTGCTGTCCCCAGTGAGGGCGTGGTGTCCCCGCAGGGTACCGCACCTACTGCCACTACCTGCGGGTGGAGGTCAGCCAGTGCCACCCGCTGCTGAAGGCCTTCTGCTTCCTGCTGCTCCAGTCCGGCCGGCCCGAGCCGCCGGCACCGCCCCGGGACACCCAGCTGGAGGAAGGTGGGACCTGGGGACACTGGGGGATCAGGGGGAAGGGACAGGATGGTGACCTGTGGGTGGCACCTCTGGTTGGTGTGGAGACACCTCCATCCATCCATCCATCCATCCATCCATCCATCCATCCATCCATCCATCCATCATCCATCCATCCATCCATCATCCATCATCCATCCATCCATCTATCCATCTGTCAACCATCCATCCATCCATCCATCCATCCATCCATCCATCCTCTCCAGGATATGGATGGGGCTCTTTGGGGTGTGGTGGGATCTTGGTGGCTCCAGGAAAATGGGGTTGGGACTGGAATCTGGGAATCTTGGAACACTTTGGGTTGGAAGGGCCCTTAAAGCCCATCCAGGGACACCTCCCACTATCCCAGGCTGCTCCAAACCCCATCCAACCTTTCCTTGGGCACTTTGCGCATCCAGGGGCAACCACAGTTCTTCTGGGAATTCCATCCCAGCCAGGAATTCCATCACAATCTCCCCTTTCCCAGCAGAAATCTATCCCTCTGCGCCTCATCCCAACCCCTCTCTCGCTCTCCTGGTGCTTTTCCAGGCCCTGAATCCTCTCCCTGCTGCTCCCGTCTCCTTCCAGGCCTCCAGCTGATGCATCCCAAGCCCCCGGCTCCGGGAAGGGTGCGGAGCCGGCGGATCCGGGCGCGCTGGTGGGTGGCCTACACGCTCCTGCACAACCCCTCGCTGACCGCTTCCCGAAAAACCGCACTGGCCGATCCCGCCGCCAACGGCGCCCAGCTCGGCATTCCCAGGCCCTGAATTCCCGGGAATCCCATCGCATCTTCCATCTCCCATCCCTGAATTTCTGGCGCTTCTCATGCGCCCTTTCCCAGCCTCCGGACTCTCTCCGAGGGTTTATCCCTAAATCTGTGCCGAGCCACTGCCAAGGTCTGGAGGTGACATCTCTGAGCCCAGCCTGGATGGAGATGAGCCAAGGAAAATGCTCCCAGCATCCCAAAAATATTTTGGAATTCACTCCTGCAGCCAGCCCGGTTCTCAGCAGCTTTTCCAGCACAGGACAATTCTCATGGGACAATTCCAGCATGGGACAATTCCCATCCTCTTCCAGAGAACTGGAAGAGGAACTTGGAGGGATCCCCAGCCGGCCAAAGGAATTCTCAACCACCAGGAATTACCCCGGGAACTCCACGAGGGAGAAAATTCCCATTCCCAGCATCTCCCTTCCCGATTCTGGCTCCATTTGGGCTCCACATTCACTCCCGGGACGTTTTTTTCCCTGATTTTTGAAGGATCAAATCCCACCCTGCTCCCCGCCCTCTTCCACTCCCAGTTTTGTGGTGATCCGGGGTTTTCCAGGGCTGGGATCCATGGAAAACCTCGCTGGGAAGCGCGGGGGAAGGAGAATAAATGGGTACCTCGTTCCTACTCCTGGGATGTGCAGTTTTCCTTGGATATTCCCCCGTCCAGCAGGATTTGGGACCACCCCAGCCCCGAATCCAGGGAATGGTTGGGATGACCTCGCCCAGCAGAGATTTCAGGGATCTGATCCATGATCCAACTTTAGGGCAGTTTTATGGGAAAACCGCTCTCCTCACATTCCCAAAACTTTGGGAAGGGTGGGAATGGGAATGGGGAATTTTGGAGATAAAACCCCATAGGGATGGCAATGAGATGGTGCTAGATCACCTCTTCCTGCTCTTAAATCCGAGAATTCCCAACTTTTTGGGCTGGAATGAGCAGGCCCCTGGTGGATCCCAAGCACCCCAAGATTCCCTTGGGAATTCTCAGCCCAGCCTGCATGGAGATGCTGGATCATGCTGGGATTTCCTTGGAAGTGGCCAGAGCTGCTCTCTGAAGGATCCCAGGGACCCCGTTCCCTCCCTCTGGAATGTTCCCAGCACCCTCAGGACGGTTTGGGGGCACTAGGATTGATTCCCATGCTTTGGGGTTTCCTCCCTTTTCCCAGGATTCCCTCCCAGCCCATCCCAACACCTGCAGCTGCAAAGGCAGCCTAAAACCCCTTTACAAAATCCCTTTAACAATTCCTTTAAAAATCCCTTTAAAAATCCTAAATATCTCCAAAATATCTTTTTCAAAAATCCCAAAAATCTCTAAAATCCATTTTAAAATCCGTAAAATCTGTGGCAGCTCTGTGTTACGGGCGGGGCTGAATTTTGGGATCAGTTTCCACATCCCCACCCAAGGCTCCCTGGAGATCCATGGAATTTGTGTGGTTTTTGGGATAGCAGCAGCACCCTGGGGGGGATTTGGGAATTTCTTCCGCTTCCTGTTGCTTCCCAGCTCGTCTGGAAACTCCAAATCCGCATCCTCACCCCTCTCATCCCAGCTTGAATTTCAGGAATAATCCTGGATCCCGCTATTCCCAGGGATAAAATGGAGTTTAAAAGTTGAATGCTGTGAAATGAACCCAAACCTTCCATTGGGATCACAGTTTTTATCCTGCAGTGGGGAAAATTTGTGGGAATCCAGGAGCTGCCCACAGAGACCTCGGCTGCCCTGTCCCTAAAATCCCTCTGGATAAGGAATTTTGGTGCTGGAGAGCTCCAGGCTCTGCTTTTGGGGTCAATTCCATTCCCGGGCAGCTGCAGGGGGGGATTTTGGGGTATCCCAGGATTTTGGGGGCTCCTTCCAGGTTTGGGATGGGGGGGAACAGGGAAATTTAGGGGATCTTGGGATGCTCCAGAATTGGGAAGGATTTGGGGATTCTCAAGCACTGGGAGGGATTTGGGATAGCTGGGAATGACAGAAGTGTCCTCTGATCCAGGAGGGTTGGGGACAATCTGGGGGAGCCCAGGAGCCGCCGTCTCAGGGAATTTTGGGATTTTGGGATGCACAGACCAAGCGAAGCCCAGCTGGTTTAGATAAAAAAAAAAGGGAGTTTATTCAAGGTGTTTATAAAAAAGTAATTATTAATTCAAGGTATTTATTAAAATTGTTTCTTTATTACAGGTGTTTATGATGGGTATTTCTTAATTAAAGGCATTAATTAAAGGCATTTATTGCTGTCCCTACAGGGCGTTACAAGGCCAGGGGGCTGCAGGGTGTGCCCAGATCCCACTGGGAATTCCGGTGCTGTTTCCAAGTCCAAGGGCCATGGACATTCCCAAAATCCCCCGAGGGTTTCCCTCCCGGGACACCTGGAGAAGGAATATTTGTCCCGCCGGGAATTCTGGAGCACTCGGGGAATGTTTATGGCTTCAAGGCAGCTCAGCTTCTCTGTTGTTCCCAATCTTTCCCCCATTCCCACTGGGAACACTTTGGGAATCTTTGGCTCAAGCCTGGTGGGTCCAGCCCAGACGGGTTTTTGAGATGGGGATCAAGGGGTTTTGGGGATTCCTGCAGAATTCCAAGGCCTTGGAAGGGCTCGGAATGCTCCTACAGGGATAAAACCGGTGAATTTCTTCCCAATCCAAGGCCGTGGGTCCAACCCAATCCTCTGTCCCATCTGTGTCCCCCAGGACCAATTTCCAGGGATTTTATCCTTGGATCCCTCCCCAGTGGCAGCCATGGTGGCTCTGGGGTGACATTGTCACCACTGTCACCTCCTGTGGTCACCTCAGATCTGGGCAGGGAGAAAAGCGGGAAGTGGGGACAGCCGGGAATTGGTTGCAGATCCCGGCTGGATGCGGGCTGGATCCTCTCCACGTTCCCTGAGTTCCCCCAGGAACGTGAATGGCAAGGGCTGGACCACCCACCCCTGTGGTGGCGACGTGGGGCTCCGGAGCGCTCCCGGATGTCAGAAGCTCAGCAAAGGCACTACGAGAGGAAAAACTACGGAAAATCAGGAATCCTGAGGTGCTGCTCGCCCTTCACCAGAGCAGCAGTCCCAGAGCCAGCAGCAGAATTCCCAGGTGGAATTCCTGGGCTCCCGCGCCGCTCCGGGCCTGGCCGGCCACGCGGTAGACGATGACCAACTTCTCGCCCATGCCGGATGGGTCCAGCTCATCGCCCTTGGCGCAGTTGTGCCCGCCGTGGTGCCCGGCCTGGGGGTCATCGCGGGGCAGCTCCTCGGCCGGGTTGGCCGAGCCGGCCAGTGCCACGTTGACGGACACGTCCCTTGTCCCCACGTCGTTGACCGCCACGCAGGTGTAGGTGCCCTCATCCTCCTTGCCGAAGTCGGGGATGGCCATGGTGCCGTTCTTGAAGGCCAGGAAGCGCTGCCGGCCTGCCTTGGCGCCACCGTCCCGCGCCACTGTGGGCCCGTGGATGTCCACGCGGCGCTTGGCCGTGCGGATCTGCCAGCGGATCTCCGGCGGGGGGCTGCCGGCCACGCTGCAGTGCAGGGTCAGCGTCAGCCCGTCCCGGGGACCGGCCGCGGCCGGGCCGGACAGGTAGGTGAGCTGGGCCGAGGGCGGCACGCAGAGCGCGCCGGGGATGTCGGTGACCGGCCGGCCCCGCAGCCGCGCTGGTGCCGCACACAGCGTGGAGCCAGCCCTGGAGAGCACCACCGAGGTGTCGTGCGCCCACTCCTTGAGCCAGAAGAGCTTGCAGGAGCAGTTGAAGGGGTTGTGGAAGAGCTGCAGCTGCGCCAGCGCCGGCAGCCCCTCGAAGGTGCCGCGGGCCAGCGTGGCCAGCTCGTTGTCGTTGAGCCAGAGCGAGCGCAGCTCCCGCAGCCCGGCCAGCGCGCCCTGGGGCACGGTGACCAGCCGGTTGTTGCTGAGCTTGAGGATCTGCAGCGCGCTGAGGTTGCGCAGGTCCTGCCAGGGGAAATCCGTCAGCCGGTTGTGGCTCAGGTCCAGGTTCTTGAGGTGCGGCAGGGCCGCGAAGGTTCCGGGCTCCACCGAGGAGATGTGGTTGTAGCCCAGCCACAGCGACTGCAGCTCGGGCACCTCGGCCAGCGAGGCGCGGCCCAGGCGGCCCAGGCGGTTGGCGGAGAGCGTGAGGATGGTGACATTCGGGGACAGACCCCGCGGGACGTCCCGCAGCTCGCGGTAGGCGCACTCGGCCAGCAACCGCCCGTTCTTCTTGGTGGAGCAGGAGCACGGCGTGGGACAGGCCAGGCCTGGGGACAGGAGTGTCACCAGCGCCAGGACGCCCAGCAGAGGCCTCATCCTCGCGTCCTGCCGGGACAGAGACGGGAATGAGCCCGGCCAAACAGCCGGGATGGGAAACGATTCCAGCTGGCAAAAGCGGTTTGGGAGATTCCCAAAATCCTGGCCCCTCTCCCCCTCGAGCTCGTCCTTCCCCCTCTGGAAAATCTTTTCCGGGTTTGGGATGAAACGCTGTTTGGGATGAGGAGTGGGAGCCGGGAGGTTCCGGGTTCCTCCCGCTGAGCTGAGGAGGAACAGAGCCACCGCAGCTCTTTCCCAACCAGCCTTCCCATAAATCATGGAATTTTCGGGATTTCCAGCGGGTTCGCAGACTGTGTCATGGAAAAAACCCGCCGCCTTCTCTCAGCCAGGGGCTGTGGGGTCCCCGCGGCCGCCGGAATTCTTGGGAAGGGAATTTTTCCCGACTTAACTCCTCATTCCCCTCTCGGTGACTTTTCCAGGGCGCTCCAGAGGTTCGTTCCCGCTCGGAATTCCCAGCATCTGGCAGCCAGACCCCTTTGTCTGAGTCTCGCAGGCCAATTCCCCTGCCCTCCATTCCCAGCCCTGCCATTCCCGGCGGGAATTTCTCGGGAATAAACACCATCGGGAGCTGAGGGGTGCCAAAGGCGCCCCACTGGCTCTGGGGGAGCTCCAGGTGACATTTTGGGGTGCCCAGGGAGGGACAGACCCCATCTCCCGGGGATTTGGGAGGGCAATCCCGGGATTTTGTCCCTCCTGGAGCTGCGGGTGTCATCCCACCCCTTTTCCAGAGCCCCCCGGGGATCCCCCGCCGCCTCCCGGCGCATTCCAGAGCCGTGAATAACCGCCCTGCCTCCTTCCTTCCCTCCTCTCCCGGAGTTTGTTCCCGATTTTTTCCCGCTTTTCCCCCGCTCCAGCCCCGCTCCCGGGGCCCGCGCCCCCGCCCCGTCACCGCCGGTGGAGCCCCGGTGTCCCCGCTCCGCTGGACTCGGTCCCGCCGCTCCCGGGCCCTCCTCGGCTTCTCCTCCTCCTCCTCCTCCTCCTGCTGCTCCTCCCGGCCCGTCCCCTCCCCGTCCCCCGGGCCCGGATTGTTTTCCATGGCACCGACCAGCGGGGCCCGTCCTCGGCTCCGCCAAAGTCCCCTAAAACGCGTTAGCACACACCCCTGAGCCCAAATCCCCTAAAAAACCATCACCCCAAATCCCTGCCCCGCAAAATCTCCTAAAACCCATTAGTACACACCTCTGAGCCCAAAAACCCCTAAAAAATCATCACCCCAATTCCCTGCCCCCCAAAATCCCCTAAAACCCATTAGCACACACCTCTGAGCCCAAAAACCCCTAAAAAACAGTGACCCCAAATCCCTGCCCCCCAAAATCCTGACAAACCCCATCAACTCACACCCCGGACCCCAAAAGTACCCTAAAACCTGTTAGCACACACCCCTGAGCCCAAAATCCCTTAAAAAACAGTGACCCCAATTCCCTGCCCCCAAAGTCCCCTAAAACCCATTACCCCACACCCGTGAGCCCCAAAATCCTCTGAAAAACCATTATCCCAAATCCCTGTCCCCCAAAATCCCCTAAAACCTTGTCACCCCATATCCCTGCCCCCTAAAATCCCCTAAAAACCCATTACCTCAATTCTCTGCCCCCCAAATCCCCTAAAACTGTCAGCCCACACGCCTGCCCCTCAAAAACCCCTGAAAATCCATTACCCCATTCCCTGTACCCCAAAATCACCTAAAACCCATTATTCCAATTTCCTATACCCCAAAATCTCTCCAAACCCCGTCCTCCCACACCTCTGACCCCAAAATCCCCTAAAACCCCATCAGCCCAATTTCTTGTTCCCACAAAATCTCCTAAAACCTGTCACCCCAAATCCTCTAAAACCCATTACCCCAATTCCCTGTACCCCAAAATAACCTATCACCCCAAAATAACCTGTCACCACAATTCCCTGCCCCCCAAAATCCCCCCAAACCCCATCACCCCCATCCCTGCCTCCAAAATCTCCTAAAACCCCATCACCCCAAATCCCTGTCCCCCAAGAGCCCCTAAAACCCCACCACCCCAATTCCCTGCCCCTAAAATCCCACAAAACCCAACACCACAATTCCCTGTCCCCCAAAATCCCCCAAACCCCATCACCCCACACCCCAGTCCCCCAAAATCCCCCCAAACCCCATCACCCCACACCTCTGCCCCCCAAAACCCCCAAAATCTCATCCCCTCCAAACCCTGGGCCCCCGAAATTGCCCAAAACCCCATATGGGGACAGGCTTTGGGGACACAGGGTGAGGACAGGATTTGGGGACAGGCTTCGGGGACAGGGAGTGGGGACAGGATTTGGGGACAGGGGTTAGGGACAAGGTTTGGGGTCAGGCTTTGGGGACCGGGTTTTGGACGGGCTTTGGGGACAGGGAGTGGGGACAGAGTTTGGGACAAGGAGTGGGGACAATGTTTGGGGACAGAGTTTGGGGACAGGGATTGGGGACAGGCTTTGGGGTCAGGGGATGGGGACAGGGGTGGGGATAGGGTTTGGGGTCAGGCTTTGGGGACAGGCTTTGGGAATAGGAGGTGAGAACAGGAATTGGGGACAGTGTTTGGGGACAAGGCTTGTGGACAGGGTTTGGGGACAGGGGTTTGGGATAGGGATTGGGCACAGGGTTTGGGGACAGGATTTGGGGACACAGGGTGGCAGGGTGACCCCACAGAGGGGTTGTGGGGCCAGGGCTGGGTCAGGAGGGAGGAGAAAATTCCCAAATTCAGGGATGGCAGCAGGATGGCACCCAGGGATGGCACCAGGGATGGCACCAGGGGATGTCCCCAGCACCATCTCCTCGTGTCCCTGTGGAGAATTCCCAAGAAAAGGTTGGAAAATTGGGATTGTGGGGATTTCATCCCCCAGATCCCACAAGGGAATGGGAAAGGTTCCTGTCCACCCCAAACTGGTCAAACTGTGAATTCTCGACTGGTCAAACTGGGAATTCCCTGCTGGTGAAACTGGGACATTCCAACTGGTCAAACGGGGAATTCCTGACTGCTCAAACTGGGACATTCCCAACTGCTCAAACTAAGAATTCCCTACTGGTCAAACTGGGAATTCCTGACTGCTCAAACTGGGACATTCCCAACTGCTCAAACTAAGAATTCCCTACTGGTCAAACTGGGAATTCCTGACTGCTCAAACTGGGAATTCCTGCCTGGTGAAACTGGGACATTCCCAACTGCTCCAACTAGGACATTCCCAACTGGTCAAACCAAGAAGTTCTGACTGGTCAAACGGGGAATTCCTGACTGCTCAAACTGGGACATTCCCAACTGCTCAAACTAAGAATTCCCTACTGGTCAAACTGGGAATTCCTGACTGCTCAAACTGGGACATTCCCAACTGCTCAAACTAAGAATTCCCTACTGGTCAAACTGGGAATTCCTGACTGCTCAAACTGGGAATTCCTGCCTGGTGAAACTGGGACATTCCCAACTGCTCCAACTAGGACATTCCCAACTGGTCAAACCAAGAAGTTCTGACTGGTCAAACGGGGAATTCCCTACTGGTGAAACTGGAAATTCCCAACTGGTCAAACTGGGACATTCCCAACTGCTCAAACTGAGACATTCCCAACTGCTCAAACTAAGAATTCCCTACTGGTCAAACTGGGAATTCCTGACTGCTCAAACTGGGAATTCCTGCCTGGTGAAACTGGGACATTCCCAACTGCTCCAACTAGGACATTCCCAACTGGTCAAACCAAGAAGTTCTGACTGGTCAAACGGGGAATTCCCTACTGGTGAAACTGGAAATTCCCTACTGGTCAAACTGGGACATTCCCAAGTGGTCAAACTGGGAATTCCTGACTGGTCAAACTGAGACATTCCCAACTGGTCAAACTGGGAATTCCTGACTGGTCAAACTCAGAATTCCCAGCTGGTTAAATTGGGAATTCCTGACTGGTCAAACTGGAAATTCCCTACTGGTGAAACTGGCACATTCCAACAGCTCAAACTAAGAATTCCCTACTGGTCAAACTGGGAATTCCTGACTGCTCCAACTGGGACATTCCCGACTGGTCAAACTGGGAATTCCTGACTGGCCAAACTGAGAATTCCCAACTGGTTAAATTGGGACATTCCTAACTGGTCAAACTGGGAATTCCTGACTGCTCAAACTGGCAAATTCTCACCTGGTCAAACTGGGACATTCCAACTTGACAAACTGGGACATTCCCAACTGGTCAAACTGGGAAATTCCCGCTGCAGGGCTGGAATTCTCTGTGGGGATTGAGGATTTTGGGGAATTCTGAGCACTCCATGGATGCTTTAACCATTCCCAGCAAGAATTTTTTCCAAGAAAAAGGCAAATCCCCACCGCCATTTATCCGTGGCCTCCTGGAGAGCAGCAAATCCTGGCCTCATCCCGGATTCCCGGGAATCCACAGTTCCCTAATTAAAGGCAGCTGGAATGATTGTTCTTTTCCATTCCCGCCGTGACTCCCAAGCACCACGCTCAATTATGGGAATATCAACAATTATGGGAATATTCGCAATTATGGAAGTATTCACAATTATGGAAATGTCCACAATTATGGAAATATCCATAACTAATTATGGGAACGGCAACAATTGTGGCAATATCCACAAATAATTATGGGAATAGCAACAATTATGGGAATGTCAACAAAGATGGGAATATCCAGGCTCTGCCAGGCAGATCCGAACACCTGGAGCAGCCTCAGACTCTCGGGATTTGGGGGATTTTGGGGGAATTTGTGGGGGGATTTGGGGGATTTTTGCCCTGGAGAAAGGAATGTTGGATTGCCGGGGGGATTTCATTGGTGGGATGGGATTGGGAGCAGAAATCCAGCGGGAATTTTGGGATGAGTGCTGGGAGCACTTGGGGATCAAGGTGACGCCATCTGGGAGAGGAGTTTGGGGAGAAAAAAAGGCAAAAAAAGCGAGGTTTGGGGTGTGATTTTTAACAAAAAAAAAAAAAAGAGAGATAGGAATTGTAGAAATTCCATCAAAAATTAAATACACTACAGATAAAATGATAAATAAAAGATATCTAAAATGACAGAAATCATATCTAAAATGACAAAAACATATCTAAAATAATAGAAAGCGTATCTAAAATGATGTAAAAATGATAGAAATTATGATTAAGATGGTAGAGAATGATCTAGAAAACGACAGAAAATGATCCATAAAACGATGGAAAACACATCCGTGGGATGTTTCCTTGCTCCAGCGGATTCCGATGCTCACCGGGGGAAAATGGAATTCCTTTTTTTTTCCTCTCCGGGGTGAATTTATAGGGAAGATTTAATGGATTTTGGCGATTCCGTTCGCACGCAAACGCGATTTTATGGCCGGAAAAAAATGAATTGATGTTTTTACGATATTAAAAAACGTGTCAAACACATAAAAGGAGGCGGCCGTGGCGGTGCCACCTCCTGGCTGTCCCCTCCCCGCCCTGGGGACAGAATCCCGGTTTTTTCCCCCAAGCACGGAGGCGGCTCCACTTTCAATCCCTTTTATTGACTCGTCACGGACAGAAGCGCGCAGAGAAGGCGCCCGCGGCTCTCCGCGGCACCGGGGCCGGCACCGGGGCTGGCGGACACCGCGGCCACCGCGGCGACCTCGGCCGCAGGCTCCGGGCGCGTCTGCGGCTCACACACTTGGCTACAAGGCTACTCTACCCAAAACACACCGAGGGGAGGGGACGGGGCCGGGAACCGGGGATTGGGGACCGGGGACTGGGGATTGGGGATCGGGGATTGGAGATGGGGGATCGGGGAGCCCCCGGAGCCTCGGGGCGCGGAGCTGTCCCGGAGAGCCCGGTGCTGAATTGGGGAGAGCGGGACCCACCGGGAATGGAAGGGCGGGGACCGGGGAGAACCGGGACCCACCGGGAATGGGAGTGGTGGGAGCGGGGATCACCGAGACCCAGCGGCAACGGGAATGGTGGGGACCGGGGAGAACTGGGACCCACCGGGAACGAGAGTGGCGGGGACCGGGAATCAGCTGCCGGGAATGGCGGGACCGGGGAGAACCGGGACCCACCGGGAATGGGAATGCTGGGGACCGGGAATCAGCTGCCGGGAATGGGAGGGCGGGGACTGGGGAGAACCGGGACCCACCGGGAACGGGAGTGGTGGGGACCGGGAATCAGCTCCTGGGAGTGGCGGGGACCGGGGAGAACCGGGACCCACCGGGAACGGGTATGGCGAGGACTGGGGAGCATCGGGACCCACCAAGAACGGGAACAGCGGGGACCGGGGATCAGCTCCCGGGAGTGGAGGGGACTGGGGAGAACCGGGACCCACCGGGAACGGGAATGGTGGGACCGGAGAGCACCAATATCCATCGGGGGCTGGAGAGAACCGCCCGGGAGCGGCGGGGACCGGGAATGCCGGCACCCAGCGGGGCGCGGGGAGCATCGCCCGGGAGTACCGGGGACTGAGGAGCCCCGGGATCCGTCGGGAAGCGGGAAAACCGCCCAGGAGTGGCGGGGACCGGGAATGTCGGCACTGCCGGGGAAAATCGGGACACACCGGGGAGCGGGGGGGACAGCTCCGGGCTCGACAGGAGAGAACCGGAGAGCAGAGGGGACTCACCGGGCACCGAGGAGCGGCGGGGACTGAACCGATTCCAGCAAAGAGAATTTGGGGCTATCGGCCTTTTTGCTTTTAGCCGTTTTCTCGGGGTTTTTTCGTTTTTTTCCTCGGAGGGGAAAGCGAACGCGGGGCTGGCGGGCGGCGGAGGGAGAGGGGGGAGAGGGAATCGTTGTTGCCGCCGAGCCGGCAGCGAGCACAGCCGGTGCCCGAAATGGAAACGAAATCGTGGGAGGCTCATCCCGGGGGCACCGGGCGAGAAGGAGAAGAAGGGGAAGAGGAGAAGGAGGAGGGGAAGGAGAGGCGGGGATGGCTCCGCTCGTTCCCGGAGGATTTTCCCCAGGCGGAGCGGGGGGTGGGAGCGGGGACAAGGGGATTTGGGGGGCTCAGCGGGGCCGCTGCCGGTAGTTGCCGTTGATCTCCGGGGAGATGGTGACGGCCTCGGCGCCCAGCGGCAGCTTGTCGCTGTACTCGGAGCGCACCTCGAACTCCTCGGCGCCGCCCTTGGACTGCGACTCCGCCATGGAGCTGGCGGCCACGCTCTCCTCCCGCTCCAGCTCGGCCGCGCCTTCCCCCTCCCTCCCGCGCCGCCACCGCGCTCCTTCCTCATCCCCCGCCTCCTCCTCCTCCTCTTCCTCCTCCTCCTCGGCCTCGGCCTCGCCGGCACCGAAGTTCTTCTCGGACTCCAGGTAGGAGGCGCGGGGATCGAAGTCGGCGGCCATGCGCTTCTCCATCTGGTCGGGGTTCTGCGCCTTCATGATGAGCTTGTAGGGCTTGGCCTGCAGCTTGGCGAGCAGGTGGCACCACGTGGCGCCCAGCAGCGGCAGCGTGGCCAGCAGCAGCAGGAAGATGCTGACCACCACGATGATGATGAGCGACGGGATCTCCTTCTTGGTGGTGAACACCACCTGCACGCGGCACTCCTCGCCCGGCGAGCTCAGGCACACCGAGTAGTTGGTGCCGGGGCTCAGGCCCTGGAACCAGTACGAGTTCACGCCGGCCTCGATCTGCGACCACTGCAGCAGGGCGTGGCCCTGGCGGCCCTGCTGGCACAGGTACAGCACGCCCAGGTGGCCCCCGCCGGGTTGGGTGGGCGTCAGCTGCACTCGGGCGTCGCGCTCGGCCACGTCCAGGGCGATGACGCCCAGCTCGAAGCTGTGCCGCTTGAAGTCGCCGCTCTGGTTGAAGGCGTGGTTGGAGATGTACTTGGAGCCGCCCGCCGAGGCCCCGCACTTCTTCTCCAGCCCCGGCGGCTCCAAGGGGACCCGGCCCCGGCCCTCAGGCTCCGGCCCCGCCGCCGAGCCGGGCCGGCTCTGCCGGGTGGGGCCCAGCGCTTTGCCCCTCTCCTCCGGGGTCAGCACGCTGTTCTTGGCCGCCTCGGTGCCGGGTTTCTTGTCGCCCGCCTGCCCCTTTCCGCCCAGCGGGTCCGCGCCGGGCACCGGCGGGTATTTCTGCGGGCCCGCCACTGCCACGCTGACCGAGGAGTGGTTGCTGCCCACCTCGTTGGTGGCCACGCAGGTGTAGGTGCCCTCCTCGCGCTTGCTCAGCTGCGGGATCACCAAGGTGCCGTTCTTGAAGGCCACGAAGCGCTCGGGCTCGGGCCGCGGCTCCTCCTTGGCCGCGCTCTCCGGGCCGCTCCCGCCCAGCTCCAGGCTCTGGCCGGCCGTGCGGATCTTCCAGCGCAGCTCGGGCGGCGGCGAGCCGCTGGCGGCGCAGTGCAGGCTCAGCGTGAGCCCGTCGGGCAGCCCGGCCGCGTCCAGCTCGGGCGAGGAGCCGATGGTGACGGCGGGCGCGGCGCAGCGCAGCTCGGGCAGCTTGGCCAGCGGCACGCCGCGGAGGCGCTCGGGCAGCGCGCAGGCGATGGAGTCCTTCTCGGGGATGGAGATGAGCGTGCTCTCCATCCAGCGCTTCAGCCACTGCAGCGCGCAGGAGCACTCGAAGGGGTTGTTGTAGATCTGCAGGTGCGACAGCGAGCCCAGCGAGTCGAAGATGCCCTCGGCCAGCGTGGCGAAGCGGTTGTTGTTGATGCGCAGCGAGCGCAGGTCCTTGAGCGTGCGGAAGGCGTCGGGCGGCACCAGCGCCATGCGGTTGTTGTTCATCTTGAGCAGCTGCAGCGCGCTCAGGTTGCGCAGGTCCCGCCAGGGGAACTCCACGATCTGGTTGTGGCTGATGTCCAGGTTCTTGAGCTGCGCCAGCACGGCCAGCGCGCCGGGCTCGATGGTGGCGATCTCGTTGTGAGCCAGCCACAGCGAGCTCACCTGGGTCACCTCGGCGAAGGCGCCGCGGGGCAGCGAGCTGATCTTGTTGGCCGACAGGCTCAGCGTGGTCACGTTGGAGGGCAGCCCCGCGGGCACGGCCTGCAGCTCCTTGTAGGCGCAGTCGGCGAACTGGTGCGCGTACTTGTCCACGCAAGCGCAGGGCTCCGGGCACGCCCGGCCCGAGCCCAGCAGGGCCGCCAGCAGCAGCGCCAGCAGCGGGGCCATGTCCCCCTGGCAGGGCACAGCGCGGGGCTCAGCGCCAGCGCGCCCCGGCCCCGCCCGCCGGCGGGAGGTGGAGGCGGCGGGGCCGCGCCCCATTGTCTGTGCCCGGCTCCCCCCGGCTGCCGCCCGCTGCCTCCCGCGCATCCCCTCCGCGCCCTCGCCCCCGCTTTCCTCCCCTTCCCGTCGGCTCTTCCCACCCTCCTCGCTCTCTTTTTCTCGGCTCAGTCAGGTTTTTCCTTCTCCCCTTCCCTGGCCGGCTCTTCCCACCCTTCTCACTCTCTGTTTCCAGGCTCAATCAGGTTTTTCCTTCTCCCTTCCCACCCTTCTCACTCTCTATTTCCCGGCTCAGTCAGGTTTTCCTTCTCTCTCCCCTGGCCGGTTCTTCCCACCCTTCTCACTCTCTATTTCTCGGCTCGATCCGGTTTTTCCTTCTCCCTTTCCCAGCCGTCCCTTCCCACCCTTCTCACTTTCTTTTTTCCCGGCTCTCTCAGGCTTTTCCTCCCCCCACTCACACGCCCCCGCAATAACCAACTAATTAACCTCCATTTTCTTTATCCTCTGCTTTCATCTCTCCATCCCCAATTATTCCTTTCGCTCCCCTCTCCCCTCCCTCTCTCCGCCGTCTCTCCCTACTTCATCCCCGCCCTATTCCCCCTCTCCTGTCCGCCTGTCCCCCGCCACTCACCCTCTCCTAGGAGCCTCTCCGCCACCCTCAGCCCTTCCCGGCGCTCCTCATCCTCCCGCTGCCAGCCGGCCGAGGGGCGGGGGGACCGGGGGGACCCCGCCCGCTGCCCCCGCGCCTGCCGGGGCTGAGCTGCGAGCGGCGCCGGGGCCGAGCGGGCTCTGAGCTGCCGAGGCACAGCGAGAGGCAGCGATTTGCATTTCTGCCAGCCTCCCCCTCCGCCCGCCCGCCCGCCACCCCCTTCCTTCTCCCAGCCCACCACCCACTCACCCACCCACCCACCCGGCCGGCGCCGCCCGCGGCCGCTCCCGCACCGCCGGTAGCCCCGAAATCACAGAAATATCCCCCAAAAAAGCGGGGGCGCCGGTGCTGCTCGGCCCGCGGGCCTTCTCCGCCGCTCGGCCGCTGTTTAGCGGTTCTCCCGGAGCGGCGGCGATGCCGTCGGGGCGCGGCTCCCTCCGTCCCGCCCGCGCATCCCTGGGAGGATGGAGGAAAAGCAGGTGGGAGCCTGCCGTGCCGCTATTCCCGATCCATGCGGGAATTCCAGCGGCGGTGCCGGCCCGTGCGGGCGCTCAGAGCGCCTGGAGCCCGCAGGGAGGACGGGGACGGGAGCGGGGGGGACGCTGCTCCCTCATCCCGGCCCCGGAGTGTTCCCCTCCGCGGGAAAGCGGGATCGGGGAGCGCGGGGTGCCCCGAGCCCCGGGCGGGAAACATCGATCGGGCAGGGATCGATCCCGCCGAGCCCGAGCCCGCCGTGCCCGCCCCGCGGAGAGAGACCAGGGCAGGGCCGGGGGGCTGGGGGAGCGAGCGGCTCCTCCCGGTGTCGCCGACACGGCTGAGTCGCGACAGAGAGCGGCCCCGCCACGGGCTGTGTCTGCCGGCAACAGCTCCCATTCCCAGGGATGGATGGATGGATGATGGACGGATGGATGGATGGATGGATGGATGGATGGATGGATGGATCCATGGATGGATCCATGGATGGATTCATGAATTCATGGATCCATGGATCCATGCAGGGCACAGATCCGTTCCCATCCCCACACCAGATTTATCCCATTATTTTCCTATCCCCTTTCCAACTCTCCTCACTCCCTTTTCCCAGTGTTCATTTGGGAATTTATTGATGGGTCCAGGAATTATTGATCACATCCCATCAGGATCATCAATGTCATTCCAGCAGAGCCATTCACAGCCCTAAAAATACCTGGAAAATGGGATTTTCCTGGTATGGAAGGGAAATTTGGGACAGTGGGATTTTTGTGGTATTTTTAGACACATTTTTCCAGGAGTTGGGGTTTTTGGGAGCTGTTCTGCCCTCCTGGAAGCACCAGCCCCGTTTTTTGGGATGGATGAGCTTTGGGGCAGGATCGGGGCAGGGAAAAGCTCATCCTGATCCCACAGCCTGGGAGTGTGGGAATAACATCCTGGATCCTTTGGGATCACTGCTGGATTGGGAATAATGTCCTGATCCTTTGGGATTGCTGCTTTGGGACTGGGAATCGTGCCCTGAATCCTTTGGGATTGCTGCTGTGGGATTGGGAATAACGTCCTGGTCCTTTGGGATCACTGCTATGGGATTGGGAATAAGGTCCTGATCCCTTAGGATCGCTACTGTGGGATTGGGAATAACGCCCTGGATCCTTTGGGATTGCTGCTGTGGGATTTGGAATCATGTCGTGGATCCTTTGGGATCACTGCTGTGGGATTGGGAGCCATGTCCCGGATCCTTTGGGATCGCTCCCCCTCCCACCCTTCTCCCTCTTTTCCGTCCCCTCTCCCGTCCCCTCCCTCCCCTCCCCCCGGCCCTGCAGTGCCACCACCCGCGGGTGGCTGAGGGACATTTGGGGGACACGCAGAGGGGCCGGGTGGGCACGTGACCAATGGCGGTGTGACAATGGCAGTGACACCGTGTCCGTGTCCCCAGTGTCAATGTGTCACAGTGCCACAGGGTCACAGTGTCACAGTGTCAGCGTCACAGGGTCAGTGTCACACTTATCAGTGTCACAGGGTCACCATATCTGTGTCACAGGGTCACCGTGTCAGTGTCACAGTGTTGGTGTTCCCGTGTCGGTGTCCCCAGTGTCACACGGTCAGTGTTGCCAATGTCACGCATTTCAGTGTTACAGTGTCATAGTTGTCAGTGTCACCAGTATCACCAATGTCAACATGTGTGAGTGTCACAGGGCCAGTGTCACCATGTCAGTGTCACGCATATCTCTGTCACAGGGTCACTGTGTCAGTGTCACAGTGTTTGTGTCCCCTTGTCAGTGTCACCAGTGTCACCATGTCAGTGTCAGATGTGTCAGTGTCACATGTGTCAGTGTCCCCAGTCTCACAGGGTCAGTGTCACCAGTGTCACGTGTGTCAGTGTCACAGTGTCACCGTTGTCAGTGTCTCCAGTGTCACCAATGTCACATGTGTGAGTGTCACAGGGCCAGTGCCACACATGGCAGTGTCAGCAGTATCACCATGTTGGTGTCACCAGTGTCACCATATCAGTGTCACAGCATCACAGGGTCAGTGTCAGTGTCACCGTGTCAGTGCCACACGTGTCAGTTTCACAGAGTCACAGGGTCAGTGTCACACATATCAGTGTTACAGGATCACCATATCAGTGTCACAGGGTCACCATGTCAGTGTCACAGTGTCAGTGTCCCCATGTCGGTGTCCCCAGTGTCACAGGGTCAGCATCGCCAATGTAACGCGTTTCAGTGTCAGTGTCACAGTTGTCAGTGTCCCCAGTGTCACCAACGTCACATGTGTGAGTGTCACAGGGCCAGTGTCACACATGTCAGTGTCACCAGTATCACCACGTCAGTGTCACCAGTGTCAAGTGTCAGTGTCACAGGGTCAGGGTCAGTGTCACTGGTCAGCGTCCCCAGTGTCACCATGTCAGTGTCACAGTGTCACATGGTCAGTGTCACCAGTGTGACCATGTCAGTGTCACAGGGTCACTGTGTCAGTGTCACACGTGTCAGTGTCCCTAGTGTCCCCATGTCAGTGTCACAGTGTCACAGGGTGAGTGTCAGATGTGTCAGTGTCACATGTACCAGTGTCACCAGTGTCACCGTGTCAGTGTCACCAATGTCACAGAGTCAGTGTCACAGGCTCAGTGTCACACGTGTCAGTGTCACCAGTGTCACCATATCAGTATCACCAATGTCACCATGTCAGTGTCACACGGTCAGTGTTACAGGCTGTCCCCAGTGTCACACGGTCAGTGTCACAGGCTCGGTGTCACCAATGTCACAGCGTCGGTGTCCCCGTGTCGGTGTCCCCGGTGTCCCCAGAGCGGCGCCAGCCCGCGAGCCGCTGTGCAAGGGGGACACCTGGTGGTGGCACTGCCCTGTCACAGCCAGCCCCGCTCGGCGACACCGCCCGCGCCGCGACACTGCCACCCAGCGCCACCTGCATGGGGACACCCAGTGCCATTTGGGAACCCCAAAATTGGGATGTGGGAATCTCAAATCTGGCTGGGATTGAGGCAGGAACACTCAAATAACGGGAATTATGGGACTCCCAAAAATGGGATCTGGGAATCCTAAACCTGGCCAGGATTGAGGCAGGAATGCACAAATCCCAGGAATTTTGGGACTCCCAGAAATGGGATCTGGGAACCCCAAACCCGGCCAGGACTGAGGCAGGAACACTCAAATCATTGGAATTTTGTGAGCCCCAAAAATGGGAATCCCAAATCCAGCTGGGATTGAGGCAGGAATGCACAAATCCCGGGAATTTAATCCATGGAAAACATTCCTGGAGCTGGGGTGTCCCATATAAAAAATGGGATCTGGGATAAAAGCAGAGACCCGAATTCATTCCCTGTCTTCCCTCGGGACAATCCCAAACTGTTTTCCTGGGAAATGGAAATTCCATTTCCCTCTTTTCCTGGATTTTTGTGGGAACGTGGCTGGAACAGGCTCCTTTACTCATGGAATGTGGAAATTTTATCCCTGGGATCTCTCCTTGCCCTCGGGGATTTCTCCTGTCCCTAAAATGCCAGGATCAGTGCCCGGAGCAGGGAGCTGGGACAGGTTTCACCTCAGAATTCCCAGGTTTTCCCTCTGCTCAGGATTGTTTGGGAAAAGCAGAGTGGGAAGAAGAGGAAGAAGCTGGAATTTTATCCCAAAGCAGATTTATTGAGGGGAGACATAAAAAACCTGGGATTTTAAACCCTCATTACACCAGGAAACTGACCCCAATCCTAATCCCAATCCCAATCCCAAGGAATTCCCAGCTCCAAGTGCTGATGGGGGATCCCAGAGGGGATCCCACCCTTGGGATCATTTCCCCACCTTCAGGGGGGCTCAGGAACGGGATCCGCCGGCACCGATCCCAACTCCCATCCCAAATTTTACTTTGGGATCAACACAGACAGGATTTAAGAGGAGAACAACATTCCCAGGAAACCTCAAAGCATTGAAGGGGAGATCCCAGCAGATCCAGGTGGGATTTGGGGCCACTCTGGCACACCAGAGCTCAGTCCAAGAATAAATTTGGGATTGGCCAAGAAGAGGAAAGTCCAAGCAGAAATCTGGGAATGGGAGGCCGGGAATTGCAGGATGAGGCCAGAGGATCCCATGGGATGTCAGCACGGGGGCGGCTCCGGTGTCACCGTCACCACCACGGTGTCCTCGTCGCTGTCGTCAGAGCTGCAGATGATGATGCTGCCGCCCTCTGCAAGGGAAATCCCAAAATTCCGGATCCCACAGGATCAATGTTCCTGAGCTTTGCACCAGGAACCAACCAGAGCATGGGGGCAACCCCTGGAATGGTGGCGACCACGTGGATCCTAAATTCCATGGATCCTTCACTCCATGGATCCTGAATTCCACAGATCCTTCACCCAATGGATCCCTCATTCCATGGATACTGAATTCCACAGATCCCTCACCCCATGGGTCCTTCATCCCATGGATCCTTCAATCCATGGATCCCCCACCCCATGGATCCCCCATTCCATGGATCCTTCATCCCACGGATCCTGAATTCCATGGATCCCTCAACCCATGGATCCCAGATCACATAGATCCTTCACCCCATGGATCCTTCACCCCATGGATCCTTCATCTCATGGATCCTTCATCCCACAGATCCCTCATCCCATGGATCCTTCACCCTATGGATCCTTCACCCTATGGATCCTTCATCCCATGGATCCTGAAACCTATGGATCCTGAATCCCACGGATCCCTCATTCCATGTATCCCTCATCCCATGGATCCTTCATCCCATGGATCCCTCACCCCATGGATTCTTCATCCCACGGTTCCCTTATCCCACAGATCCTTCATCCCAATATTCCCTCAGCCCATGGATCCTTCACTTCATGGATCCCTCATTCCATGGATCCTTCATCCCACAGATCCCTCATCCCAGTGTTCCCTCAGCCCATGGATTCCTCATCCCATGGATCCCTCACCCTACAGATCTGGATCCTCCCCACCCTTGGCCAAGATTCCCATGGAATGGGGGCACAGAAAGGCCAGAAATGATCCCATGGGATGAGGAAAAGCGGGATAGCAGGGACAGTGACATTCCCGGTGCCCACCTGTGTCACTAGCACGGACGCAGTTGTGCCGTGACGTGGAGGGGCCGGGCTCCGTCGGGAATTCCCACTGGGATTTGGGATGGCTGGGGCCTGGCTCGTGGTCACATTCCAGCTTCAGGAGTTTGGGAGACACCTGGCTGCCCCTCTCCATGCTGGGCAGCGGCCGCTTCCAGCAGGGCAGCGGGAGAGGCTGGAAAAGCAGGATTGGGATTGGGGTGGGATTAGGGTTGGGGTTGGGATTGGGGTTGGGATTTGGGATTGGAGTGGGGGTGGGATTTGAGTGGGATTGGGATTTGGGTGGGATTGGGGTGGGATTGGGGTTGGGATTGGTTTTGGGACTGGGGTGGGAGTGGCGTTGGGATTGGGATTGGAGTGGGATTGGGATGGGATTGGGGTGGGATTGGAGTGGGATTGGGGTTGGGATTGGTTTTGGGAATGGGGTGGGAGTGGCGTTGGGATTGGGATTGGAGTGGGATTGGGGTGGGATTGGGGTGGGATTGGGGTTGGGATTGGTTTTGGGAATGGGGTGGGATTGGCGTTGGGATTGGGATTGGAGTGGGATTGGGATTGGGATTGGGATTGGGATTGGGATCCCAGCGGATCTCACCTGGTTGGGACAGAGGGACCTCACCTCCTCCACGTGGATCTCCTCCAGGCTGGGGGAGATGCTGCGGGGTTTGGGATGGGTTGGATCCTCTTCCTGCGGGAAGAGTGGGAGTTGGGATGGGCTTGGGCCCCAGTGGAGGGGCGGGAACACCCTCGGGAATGGGGAAACTGAGGCACGGAGGGTTTGGGATGGGTCTGGGGGCTGCTCCCGTGGTCATGGAATTCCCCAGGGATGGAGCAGTGCCTGGTGGGATGTGGGAACTTGTGGATGAGGAAAGCCTGGGAATACCGGGATGGGGAGGGAAAGGAGAGGTGCAGGTTTTGGATGGGGCAGGAGCACCCCCATGTCTCACCAGGTTGTTCTCCAGGCCCACCTCGACCTCAGGGACATCTGGGGATGGAGAAAACTGGGATGAGACCCCGAGCTGGAGCCTCCAGAGCCAGGAAAATCCCACCTGGCAGCTCCAAACCCCTTCCCTCCGGATTGGGGTGGCCCCGGGGGCTTGGGAGGCTCCGGGGAGCCGGGAATGAGCATACCCAGAGCCACCGGGATTGGGGGACACCCAGAGGGCTCCACAAAAAAATCGGAGCAAATACCGGCTCTGGGGGGTGAGGAGCTGGAGCAGGGAAATGGGGGAGAGGAGGAGGAGGAGGGGAAGAAGGAGAAGGAGAAGAAAAAATGAAGAAAAATAAGGAGGAGGAGGAGAAGAAGGAAGGAGAACAAGGAGAAGAAGGGGGAGAAGGAGGAGGAGGAAAAGGGGAAGGGGAAGGAGAAGGAGAAGAAGGAGAAGGAGAAGAAGGAGAAGGAAAAGGTGAAGGGGAAGGAGAAGGAGAAGAAGGAGAAGGAGAAGGAGAAGGAGAAGGAGAAGGAGAAGGAGGAGAAGGAGAATCCAGCGCTGTCCCTGCTCACGGAGGGCGCTTTGCAGCCGGCCCAGCCCAGAGCTCCCAGCCTAGAGCTCCCTCCCCAGCCCAGCCCGGCCCGGCCCAGCGCTCACCCGGCCGGCCCGTGACGCGCTCCACCAGCGCCCGCAGCCGCGCCCGGCACTCGGCGAAGTCGGGCGGCTCTCGGAGCTCGGGGGGCTCGGGCGGCCGCAGCCGCCGCAGCTCCAGCAGCGCCGCCTTCACGAAGGGCTGCATGTCCATGAGCTCCTGCTCGCCGCCGTAGCGCCCCAGCCTCTCCACCAGCCTCTCGGCCGCCTCCAGCCGCAGCAGCGCGCCCTCGGCCCCGCTCAGCTCCTCCGCCAGCGCGCTCCGGCCGCGCTCCGGCCGCGCCTCCAGCAGCGCCCGCAGCTCCTCGGCCTCGCTGCGCACCAGCTCCTGCAGGCGCTCGGCGCTGGCGCGGACGCGCTCCCGCAGCCGCTCCCGCTGCTCCTCCCGCCGCGCCGCCTCGCCCCGCAGCCGCCCCAGCGCCGCCTCGAAGGAGCGGCGGAGGCGCCGCAGGTCCCGGCGCAGCGAGCGCAGCTCGTCCTGGCGGCGGCGGCTCTCGGCGCGCAGGTCGCGGAAGGGAGCGTGGCGAGTGTCCAGCAGCGCGCACGGACAGCACAGAGCCCGCTCGCAGCGCGGACAGTAGATGCTGGCAGGGGACACATGGGGGGCGTCAGGGAGCGGTGGCAGCAGGGACACGCGCGGGAGGACAGCGGGGAGATGCTGAGGGATACCGGGATTGGCTCCCGGGATGGGGGACAGGGACACGGGGCAGGGAGGGACAGCAATGGATGGGGGTCAGGGAGGGACAGGGGTCAGCGATGGACAGGGGTCAGGGATAGACAGGGGTCAGCGATGGACAGTAGTCATGAATGGACAGGGGTCAGGGATGGACAGTGATGGATGGGGGTCAGTGATGGACAGCAATCAATAATGGACAGGGGTCAGTGATGGACAGAGGTCAGTGATGGACATGGGTCAGGGAGGGGCAGAGGTCAGGGAGGGACAGGGGTCAGGGATGGACAGCGACCAATCATGGACAAGGGGTCAGTGATGGACAGGAGTCCGGGATGGACAGGGGTCAGCAAGGGACAGTGGTCAGGGATGGACAGGGGTCAGTCATGGACACCGGTCAGCAATGGATAGGGGTCAGGGATGGACAGTGATCAATAATGGACAGGGGTCAGTAATGGACAGGGGTTAGGGATGGACACTTGTCAGGGATGGACAGCGGTCAGTCATGGACACGGGTCAGGGGTCAGGGAGGGACAGTGATGGACAGGGGTCAATGATGGACATGAGTCAGTGATGGACACCAGTCAGCAATGGACAGGGGTCAGGGATGGACAGCGGTCAAGAAGGGACAGCGGTAAGTCATGGACACGGGTCAGGGATGAACAGGGGTAAGGGAGGGACACTGGTCAGGGATGGACAATGATGGTCAGTGGTCAGGGATGAACAGGGGTCAGGGATGGGCAGGGGTCAGGGATGGAAACCAGTCAGCCATGGTCAGTGGTCAGCAAAGGTCAGTGATGGTCAGTGATCATCAGAGGGCAGGGTTGGACAGGGGTCATGGATGGACACTGGTCAGGGATGGACAGCAGTCAGTGATGGTCAGTGATGGTCAGTGATGGTCAGTGATGGTCAGTGATGGTCAGTGATTGTCAATGATGGTCAGGGATGGACAGCAGTCAGTGATGGTCAGTGATGGTCAGTGATGGTCTGTGATGGTCAGTGATGGTCAGCGACGGTCAGTGCCCATTCCAGGGCAGCCCAGACCATGTCCAGCCCTCTCTGGAGCCTTTCCCCAAATCCCTGCTGGAGCTCCCCTGGCTCCCCGGGGCCTCTGTGGGGTCACTGCCATCAGTCCCCAGACACGGGGGACAAAACCCCAATGGTGGAGCTGTGGGGACGGGAGATCTGGGGACAGGAGGGGATTTGAGGACAGGACGAGGTTTGGGTACAGGATGAGATTTGGGAGCAGTGTGAGATTTTGGGACAGGATGAGATTTGGGCCCATCCCACTCCAGCACATTCCAGGCTGGAGCATCACCCCCAAACCTCCTGGAGCAGGGCAGGATTCGGGGACAGGGTGAGATTTGGGGACAGTGTGAAATTCAGGGACAGGATGAGATTTGGGTACAGGACGAGATTTGGGGACAGGGTGAGGTTTGGGGCCAGAATGAATTTGGGGGGGCAGAATGAATTTTGGGAAAAGGACCACGCTTTGGGCAGGGGAAGAGGTTTGGGGACAGCGTGAGATTTGGGGATGGGGGACATTTGGGAGTGCAGTGAGATTTGGGGACAGGATGAGTTTTGGGGACAGGATGAGGTTTGAGGATGGGATGAAATTTGAGGATGGGATGAGATTTGGAGACAGGACAAGATTTGGAGACAGGACAAGATTTGGGGACAGGATGAGATTTGGGGATGGGATGAGTTTTGGGGACGGGATGAGATTTGGGGCCATGGCAATGTTTGGGGACAGGCCAAGGTGTGAGGACAGTGTGAGATTTGAGGATAGGACAAGGCTTGGGGATGGGACAAGATTTGGGGACAGCATAAGTTTTGGGGACAGGATGAGATTTGAGGATGGGATGAGATTTAGGGATGGGCTGAGATTTGGGGACAGGACAAGATTTGGGGCCATGGCAATGTTTGGAGACAGGCTGAGGTGCGGGGACAGTGTGAGGTTTGGGGATAGGACAAGATTTGGGGACGAGATGAGATTTGGGGCCATGGCAATGTTTAGGGACAGGCCAAGGTGTGAGGACTGTGTGAGATTTGAGGACATAATGAGGTTTGGGGATGGGATGAGCTTTGGGGACAGGACGAGATTTGGGGCAGTGGCAATATTTGAGGATAGGTCAAGGTGTAAGGACAGGACGAGGTTTGGGGACGGGACAAGATTTGGAGACAGGATGAGATTTGGAGACATGATGAAGTTTGAGGGTGGGATGAGATTTGGGGCTGGGACAAGATTTGGGGCCATGGCAATGTTTGGGGACAGGCTGAGGTGTGGGGACAGTGTGAGATTTGTGGGGATAGGACGAGGTTTGGGGACAAGATGAGATTTGGGGATGGGATGAGATTTGGAGACGGGACAAGACTGGAAGACAGCTCGAGGTTTGGGGATGGGACACGATTTGGGGCTGGGACAAGATTTGGGGACAGGACGAGGTTTGGGGCCAGGACAAGATTTGGGGCCGGGATGAGGTTTGGTCCCACGCCCCCATTTGAGGCTGGGCATGCGCTCCCACCTGCACACGCGGCTCTCCTCGGGGTGGCTGTCGCTGGAGCAGAAGAGGCTGCAGGAGCCGCGCGTGTCCTCCAGGAACTGCCTCGCCGAGCCCGCCCGCAGCTCCTCCACCCTGCGCACCCGGTGCGCCTTCTTCTTGTGCCACCACTGGTGCTCCTCCAGACACCGCCCGCAGAAGAACTCCTCGCAGTCCGAGCACCACACCAGCGCCGCCTCGGCGCGGCAGCGGCTGCAGCCGGGCCCGCCCGAGCTGCGGATCTGCCGCCAGAGCTGCAGGCGGCTCCGCAGGTTGCAGAAGAGCAGGTTGTCCACGGCCGGAGCGCCCGTGGCCGCCTGGCAGCGCGGGCACTGCTTGGTGTCGCTCAGGCAGCCCGGGCACAGCGTGTGCAGGCAGCGCAGCAGCCGCGGCTGCGCCGAGTCCTGCCCGCAGCCATCGCACCGCAGGAACTGGAAATCTTCGTCTTCATCCTCATCCTCACCCTCGCCCTCCGCCGCCGCCGGGCACGGCGGGGAGGCGGGCGCGGCGGGGCCCGGCTCTGGGTGAGGCTCCGGTTCCGCTTCTGGCTCCGGTTCCGTCTCCATCTGCGGAGGTGCGGGGTTCTCCCGCGGGATGGAAGAAGTTGGGGCTCGGTCCCGTGAATCCCGCTCGGGGTTCTGCTGTCCCGCCCCTCGCAGGTTCCTCCCCGAGCTCTCGGCCTTCCTGGAATTTGAGATTTCCCAAGCGCCGGTGGAAACGAAAGCAAAACGGTTTCGGTGCCGCTGCGGCCACCGCCCCTTCCTGCTTCGACAGAGGGAAAAGCGGGAACACCCTGGCAGCGACCCCCCAACCTTCCCTGCAGCGACCCCACAACCCCCTTGGCAGCGACCCCAAAATCCCCCCGGCAGTGACCCAAAAACACCCTGACAGCGACCCCAAACCTCCCGGGCAGCGACCCCAAAACCCTCTTGGTAGTGACCCCAAAACACCCCGGCAGTGACCCCAAAACAGCCCAGCAACTCTGTCCCCAGCACCAGCCCTGTCCCCAAAGGTTTCCCCAGGGGTATCCCCATCCCTGTCCCCATAGATGTCCCCAGCCCTGTCCCCAGAGGTGGACCCTCGCCACTCCTCACCCCAGCTCGGCAGCGCGCACAAACCCCCACACGTCTCCCCAATAAATATTTGGGGGGCCAGAAAAAGGAAAAAGCCGGGACCCCCTTCCCAGCCCGCCCTACAAACGCACCCGCCCCCTCTCCCCGGGCAGGAACGGCCCGCGGGTCCCCCCGTGTCCCCCGGTGTGTCCCCGTGTCCCCTCGGGGGGCTTCGGTTTGTCCCCGGGGCTCCGGTTTGTCCCCGTGTCCCCCGGTTTGTCCCCGTGTCCCCCGGTACCTGCGGGGTCGCGGCGGGGCCGGGAGCGGCGGGAGGAGGAGCGGGGAGAGGGCGGGACAGAGGGACGGAGGGACGGACGGAGGGGAGACCGGGATCTGTGGGGCGGTGCCGGGGGAATCCGGGCGTGGGGGAACGGGGGGATGCGGGATCGGGATTGGGATTCTGGGATGGGGATTTTGGGATTGGGATTGGGATTCTGGGATGGGGATCGGGATATAGGACCGGGATGGGGAATGAGGATGGGGATATGGGACCGGGATCGGGGTGTGGGAACTGGATGAGGATATGAGACCGGGATGGGGCTGTGGGATCTGGATGCAGGACCGGGGTCAGGATGTGGGACCGGGATGTGGGATCGGGATGGGGACGTGGGATCGGGATGGGGATGTGGGGTCGGGATGGTGGTTCAGGGACCGGGATGGGGATGTGGGATCGGGATGAGGATATGGGGTTGGGATCGGTCTGTGGGAACTGAATGGGGACGTGGGATCCGGATGTGGGACCGGGACCGGGATAGGAATGTGAGATATGGGACCGGGATGGGGATGCGGGATCGGGATGGGGTTATGGGATGGGGATGAGGATATGGGACCGGGATGGGGATGCGGGATCGGGATGGGGTTATGGGATGGGGATGAGGATATGGGACCGGGATTGGGATGTGGGATCAGGATGTGGGACCGGGACCGGGATGGGGTTGTGGGATCGGGATGGGGATGGGGATGTGGGACCGGGATGCAGTTGTGGGATCGCGGTGGGGATGTGGGGTCGGGATGGGGATGGGGATGGGGATGTGGGATGGGATGGGGATGTGGGATGGGGATTCAGGCACCGGGAAGGGGACGATCCCGGCCCCGGGAAGGCGCTGCCGGTTCCGTGGGGGCGGTTCCGGTGTCCGAGCCCGCCCCCGCCGCTCCGGGCCCGCTCCGTCCCCATTGTCCCCGCGGTGGAGCCGCGCCAGCCCCGCCCCGTCCCGAGGGACATTCCCGGCCCCATTCCCGGCCCCATTCCCACCCCAATCCCGGCCCCATTCCCACCCCGCCACACGCAGGGGGTGGCACCGCCGCAAGGCCGGGGCGGGGATTTTGGGGACAAAACGCCGCCCCTGTAATGGCCGCGGTGCCCCGATCCCAAATCCCCGCGTTCCCGGATCGGGATGCGCTCACCGGGCCGGGATTTGGGATCGGCTCCGCTCCGGCGCTGTCACATGACGGAGCCACCAGGAAGCGCCGCCGCTCCTCTTTCCTGTCCCCAACCCCGCGCTGGCGACAACGCCACCTCGCCGAGTGTCGCCAGTGTCGCCAGAGCGGGGCCGGGACCGCGGGAGGATCCCGGAGCTCCGGGGAATTTGTCACCTGAGGTGGCACCTGGGGTGGCACCGCTCGGGTTTGTCACCTGGGGTGGCAGTGCTCCCATTTGTCACCCGAGGTGGCAGTGAAAAAACCCCAAAAGATTTCATCAGTCCTCAGCCCAGCTGACCCCAAAGCTCATCCTGGTGTCCCTGGAATGTCACCAAGCCCAGGCGACCCCAAACTCTGTCCCCAGGTCACCCCAAACCCTTTTGTGGTGGCTCTGGAGTGTCCCCAAAGCTCGTCCTGATGTCCCTGGAATGTCACCAAGCCCAGGCGACCCCAAACTCTGTCACTCCCCAGGTGACCCCAAATCCTCCAGTGCCACCGCCCCGACTGACCCCAAACCCTTCTGTGATGTCCCTTAAGCGTCACCAACCCAAGTGACCCCAAATCATTGAATGCCACCCTGATCCCCGGTGCCCCCAAATCCTGCCCTGGTGTCCCTTAAGTGTCACCAAGCCCAGATGACCCCAAACTCTGTCACTCCCCAGGTGACCTCAAATCCTCCAGTGCCACCATCCCAGGTGAGCCCAAACCCTTCCACAGTGTCCCTCAATATCCCCAAATCCTCAAGTGTCGTTCTGACCCCAGTGACCCAAATCCTGCCCTGGTGTCCCCTGAGTGCCACCACCTCAGGGCACCCCAAAACCTCAAATATCACCACCCCAGGTGACCCCAAACCCTTCTGTGGTGGCTCTGGAGTGTCCCCAAAGCTCATCCTGGTGTCCCTGGAGCATCTCCAATCCCGGGGAACCCCAAATCCTCCAGTGCCACCGCCCCGACTGACCCCAAACCCTTCTGTGATGTCCCTTAAGTGTCACCAACCCAAGTGACCCCAAATCCTTGAATGTCACCCTGATCCTCAGTGCCCCCAAATCCTGCCCTGGTGTCCCTGGAATGTCACCAAGCCCAGATGACCCCAAACTCCGTCCCCAGGTGACCTCAAATCCTCGAGTGCCACCACCTCAGGTGACCCCAAACCCTTCCACGGTTTTCCTCAGTGTCCCCAACCCAAGTGACCCCAAATCCTCAAGTGTCGTTCTGACCCCGGTGACCCCAAATCCTGCCCTGGCGTCCCCTGAGTGCCACCACCTCAGGGCACCCCAAAACCTCAAATGTCACCACCCTAGTGACCCCAAACCCTTTTGTGGTGTCCCCTGACTGTCACCGCCCCAGGGGACCCCAAACCCCACTCTGGTGACCCCAAATCCTGCCCTGGTGTCCCTGGAGCGTCCCCAATCCCGGGGAACCCCAAATCCTCGAGTTTCACCAACCCCAGGTGACCCCAAACCCTTCTGTGATGTCCCTCAAGTGTCACCAGCCCCAAGTCACCCCAAACCCTGACCCCATGACCCCAAACCCTTCTGTGATGGCTCTGGAGTGTCCCCAAAGCTCATCCTGGTGTCCCTGGAATGTCACCAAACCCAGGTGACACCAAATCCTCGAGTTTCACCAACCCCAGGTGACCCCAAACCCTTCTCTGGTGTCCCTTAATTGTCCCCAACCCGAGTGACCCCAAACTCCATAAGGGTCGGGATCAGGATCCTGGAATTCCCTGGGATTTGCCCCTGGGGCAAATTTGGGGTCCCATTCCCAACTCCAAAATTCCCAGTTTGGGAATCCCAGAATTCCCGGCGATCCTGTGGGATCCTCCTGGGGAATGGCAGGGCTGGGATTGGGATCCCAGAATTCTGTGGGATTTGGGATCCCGGAATTCTGTGGGATTTGGGATCCTGGAATTCTGTGGGATTGGGATCCTGGAATTCTGTGGGATTTGGGATCCCGGAATTCTGTGGTATTTGCCCCATTTGGGGTCACATTCCCAACCCCAAAAACCCCAGTGATTCCATGGGATCCTCCTGTTCCCAGCTGGAATTCCCATGGAAACCCCAATCCAGAGCAGGAAATCCTCGCTCTGGGGGAAATTCCCAAATATTCCCAAATATCCCAAAGGGATGTCCTGAAATTCCCAGGAAATCTCAGGAGATCCTGGGAAATCCACCCTGAAGGAATTCCCAAGGATTTGGAGGGGCTGGAGAGGGAAATCTGGGGTTGGGAAAAATGGGAATTCTGGGATCCCAAATCCCATTTTGGGACTGGGAAAAAGGGGAATGCCAGGATCCCAAATCCCACTTTGGGATTGGAAGCTCTGGGATCCCAAATCCCAGTTTGGGACTGGGAATTCTGGGATCCCAAATCCCAGTCTGGAACTGGGAAAAATGGGAATGCCGGAGTCCCAAATCCCAGTTTAGGACTGGGAATTCCAGGATTCCAAATCCCACTTCAGGATTGGGAAAAATGGGAATTCTGGGATTCCAAATCCCACTTTGGGATTGTGAAGAATGGGAATTCTGGGATCCTAAATCCCAGTTTAGGATTGGGAAAAATGGGAATTCTGGGATCTCAAATCCCAGTTTGGTATTGGGAATTCTGGGATCCCAAATCCCAGTTTGGACTGGGAAAAATGGGAATGCCGAGATCCCAAATCCCAAAAATCCATTTTTTCCCAGAAAAATTCCAGGACACCCAAATCCCAAAAATCCTTTTTTTTTCCTGGAGTTTTGGCCCATGGAAAAGGGGGAAGAGCTCAGAATTCCCACTGGGATTTGGGATCAGCCTTTTTCCAGGAGGGAATTTGGGATCCTGGATGGGATTTTTCCCAATTTTTCCTGCCTTTGGAGCTCCCTGGTCCCAAAAATCCCGTGAATCCCTATAGAATCAGACCCCCCTCTCCTCCAGCTGGGATTTTTTCCAGGAAAAATCTCTGGGAAAAGCTCTTCCCAAATTCCCATTTTTCCATGGATTTTTTTACATTCTGGAAAATCTGGGAATGGGAACAAATCTGGGGTCAGTTTTTTGGGATAAAATCCCAGTTTGGGATGAGAGAGAGGCAGGAATTGCACCCCCAGGAATTCCAAACCCCGTAATTCTGATCCTGCTACAAGGATTGTTTGGAATTCTCGGATCCCACCAGGATAAACAATCCTTGGAATTCCTGTGCTCGGAATTCCCTCCCCCAATCCCAAAAGCAGCTCTGAAATTCCCTTTTCCTGCTTTTTTTCCCTCTTTTTTTAATGGGGTTTTGGCGTTTTCCCACTGCCATCCCCAAATCCCGGGATTTTGTGGGGCTGGGAGAGGAAAAATTTGGTAATTCTGGAGGGGATTTTGGGGTTTTTCATGGATTTGGGGATTTGTGGGAAAGGGAAGAGCTGGGATTTTCTCCCCTTGGATTTGGGATGGAAAACTGGGAATTGTGGGATCACCTCAGTTGGAATTCCTTGGGATGAGATTCTGAGTGGGATTTGGGATTTGGGGTGATCCAAATCCTTGGATTTGGGAAAGAATTCCTGGCTCCAAATCCTTATGGATTCCTTCCCAATCCAGGTTTTTATGGGATCATCCCCAGGTGTTTTTTGGGATCTTCCCTCGGTTTTCCTGGGATCCAGAGAGATTTTGATCCTAAAAACTCAGGAACAGCCGAAACCCCAAACCCAGAGCTGGGAATGAGGGAAAACTTCGGGAAAATCTGGGAAAACCCCCAAAAAATCTGGAAGGAGGCAAAACCCTTGAAATTCCCAGATCTCCCAAAATTCCTGGGATTAAAACTCAGCTTTTAGGAAAAATGGGATGGGGAAAAAAACGCGGATTTGGTGCTTGAGAATTCCCAAAAAATCCTTCTCCCATTTTTCCTCAAGAAATCAGAAATACCCTTTTCCCTATGGACCCCCCCCCTAATTCCCAGATTTTTTTTTCCTCTGGCTCCGTCCCGAGGGATTTTTCCCCAAATCCCGAAGGGATCCCGGAGTTTCCTGGGGTGAGGAGAGGCCTTGAATCCAAGGATTTTTCCCCCCTCGGGGGAAATTCCCTATATCTCCCTGACGCAGGAGTTCAGCCTCTGGAATTCCGGGAATTTCCGCAGTGTTTTAAACACAGGGAAACAAAAAACCCTAAAAAATCCCCGGGATTGGGGGATTTTGGGATGAGCAGAAAACCCCTGGAAGCAGCTGAGGGGTTGATGCTGATCCAGAAAATATTTTGGGAATACTGAGCTGCTTCCAGCTCCAAAACCAATGGAATTCTTTTGGGATCAATGCCAGGAATTCCTTTGGGGTCGATTTTGGAAAAAAAAAGAAATCCCAAATATGAGATTTTTTTCCGAGGAAAAAAGGGGGAGAGGGATTTTGGGATTTTGGGGAAAATGGAGCTGATGGAAAACTGGGAAATGGAAGGAGGGGGGACAGAAATTCTATTAAAATGCAATTAAATTCCATTTTAAAATTCCATTTAAAATTCCATTAAAAGAAATACCATTAAAAGAAATTCCATTAAAAATTCCATTAAGAAAAAAAGAATTCCATAAAAAAAATCCATTAAAATCCGGGATTGGAATAACAAAGGGCATGAAACAACCCCACAAAAAAAAAAAAAAAAAAAAAGAGGAAAATTTGGAATGAGACTGGAAAATCCATGGGATTTATTCCAGGGAGTTTTCCCTGTTTTTCCCTTTTTCTTGGATGCAATGGAATGGGAAGAGTCAGGAGGGAGGAAAATGAAGGAATTTTTGGGGTCTCGGTGATTCCCCATGATCCAAACTCAAATCTCATAATTTTGGGGGGGATAGAACGAGGGATTTTCACTGGAATTTGGGATCCCGGAGCCTTGGATGAGGATTTTTGGGAAAAGGGGGATAAACCAGGCTGTATCCCCAAAAAACCCCAGGATTTGTGCATCCAGATCACCGGGAATGATGGAGACCCCAAAATCCCCAGCTCGGGAGCCAAAATTCCATCATTTTTTGGGATAGAATGTGGGGTCCTCCCCAAATTCCTCATTCAAAGGGAAAGCAGCGCTCCAGGGCTCTGGGATTATCCCTGGAATTGGGGGAAATGTAGGAATTTTTGGGGTGTCCCTCATTCCCCATGATCCAAACCCAAATCCCATTTTTTTGGGATACAACCCCCCAAAAATATCCTGATCCGAAGCTCCGGTTTTTCCTGAATTCCAGGGATAATCCCTGAGTGATGTTTCCCCCTCGTCCTATCCCCCCCAAAAAATGGGATTTGGGG